ACGAGTGCTTAAAAGGCATTTGTGTCAAACTCTTGCTGTCTGCTTTGAATTCTGCCGTGTCTGTCGGCAAGACGGGTCTGCGGCTTCTTCGAGCACGCACGCACAGCATCTGGGTGCGAACGCTTGCCGGCCGATTGGAACAAGCATTGGGCACACATCATTTTTTCCTTATGGAGGGTATCCCCATGAGCTATCCATACGAAGTCCATCCCGATCCTTCAAGTCACACAAGATGTGGCAGGGACAAAGGTATTCGCTGGTGAAGCTATACCTGAAAGACTTTTCACACGCGTGGGGACGTCATCCCTTGCAAGCAAAGAGCTTGTGTTGCATGATGACACTGGCCATGCAGAAGAGCGAAGGATGAGCTCACGCAAAGATATCTTCTTCCGGTCAAACTGTGTTCGATCGTCCTCCATTTCACGAACACGTATTGGGGGAGGCAGCGTGCTGTTCTTTGAGAACTCTTACGTTCACGATGAAGACGAGGGAGACTCTTCGTGAAAGCCGTGTAAGATCCATGATGTGCATGCCAACATGCATCGCATGGTGGTCACGTGGTCCATGGAGCGGCCAGGTCCTGGATCTGCCGCTCCATTGGCCTCGTACAGAGTTGCGTCATGTATGCTCTTGAATGAAATAAGCCAATCAAAGACGGTCATATCAGATTTCCTCGATATGATTGGCTATATTTCGACCGATGGCAAGAAACTCCCCTGATTGGTGGAATCGTCATCCAATGTTCAGGTACAATCTTGGTGCGAACAGCAGAACGCGGAAACATGCAGTGCCCGTTGAGACCCAGCCGCGTTGCCTCCGACGCCGACGTTGCTGTCGATGGGTTCCAAGACAAGAAACCAGTGGCATTGGACCCAGTTGACGCAGAGCCTGACGTGTACGACGAAACATTAGTTACTTTGGAGCGACTCCTGGAGTCGTTCAACTCGACGCGTAATCCTACACTGTCAGAAGGCGAGAGGAGGCGTGCCCGACGCGAGGACGAGCGACGCACGTTGTTCGAAGGGTCGAATGAACGAAATCATCGCGTGAACAATCGATCGGTGGCCGAGCGGCGCATTCGGTCTCGAGTTTGGAGCACTACGTGCTCACTACCACACCCTGACTCGATCACAAGGGATCGATGGACCTCGCTTGATGATTGCGACGTGGATGCTCTGTACGCAATGACTCACCCCGCCATCCTGCGTGCCAGCTTTCGTCCACCAACTGCCCATCCTAAGGTCGACGTCGTGTTGACCACAGAGTACAAGGCGCTACGATCAAGTCTTCCCTCCCCTCGACGCGAGTCGGCGCCACCCTCCATGTCCCATCCAAGACAAAGCCTGCTGCTGAAACCACCCAAATCCACGTGGTATCTCCGGAGCAAGAATATTGACGCCAAGGTTGTGGTGTAGCAACGTGCACCAAGTCCAGAACTTCTTGAGATAACGGAGCGTCGAATCCCTTCTGGACCCGAGTGACTACTGTCGGGGTGCGTCTTACAACTTGGAGAGAACATGTCATTTTGTGACGCGATCAATGGAGTATTCCGCGTTAGTTGGTCCTGCCAGACAGACGAAACCTATCGATAAACCTGTGCGCTTCATGAGGAAGGACGTGTCCTGCGCGCCAACCAGATAACGCATGTTCATTCTCGCGCAACGTGCGACCACTTAAAGATGAGTTTGTTTCTGCTGTCTTGGCTTCCGCCTCCTGCACTGATACGAATGCACACGGGTTATTGCCAGCCATAGGAAGTACCCTTTGGCTATCAATACAAGTGGGGCCTTCCATGCAAGCGAGTCGGTCCCAACTGTCGACAAAGTTTGATCCATTCAAAAAGCTGCCTACTCTCAACGCGATAACCTACGACATACGCTAGGCGTTGAGTGAGATATATTATCCACTCGCTGCAATTTTCAGATGTGGTGTGTTTTTCCATGGCAAGAAAACTCGTTCGTGGGAATTCAGAAGCGCTTCCATGGATGCCTCTTGCCAAATTCGACATGTCGAGTGGACCTACGCGTTCTTGTAGTTGTTGGCATCGCACTCGACGCAAGCAAGTTATCATCGCATCCATCTTCACGTGAAGGAGCTTATACTCTTTGCCACCGCAATTCTCCAACACCGTTTGAAGAGTAATAATGTATGGGGTGGCAGCATCGAGTATTGCGCTGACCATGCCACTCACACGACGGAAGCGCATTCGTAGTCTTGGCGAAACACGCAGTGTACCAAAGCATCGACATTCGTGTTGCAGTGATGTTGGCTAACAAGCAGTCGGCGACTGGCGTGTGCACCGCTAGACGCCAGGCACTTGCACACCTACGCTGCATCATGTTCATCCTGCATCCGTTCCATCAAACGACAACGAAGGCGCAGCGCATGAAAGAGCTGAACGCTGCAGTATGTTGGATCGAGTGGTATACACAAGGCCAAGGAGAATCGATCGTAGGAGGCGTTTGCCTAATCAATGTGAAATTTCTGCGAGATAGGTGGTCAGCATTCATTTCAATGCATTCTTGGATTGTGGGGTTATAATTTCTTCTGGTTGAGGACAAATGTGACTGCAGTGCTGTCGTGCGCCGTCAGCGCCGCGCGGCTCTCTTCGTACGTGATAAAGAAGACGACACACCACGGGGCTTTGCGCATCCAGTTCGGAATGAACCCTTTGTAGAATGCCTTGACCCCTTCTTCTTGGAACGTGCGGCGGGCGCACGAGATCATGCCCGTGTACAGTGCCGAGGTGCCGGACGGCTGCGTCATCAAGCGGGTCTTGAGTACGTCGACTCTGTCCACGACGCACATGAGTATCTCCCTAAACAACGACACCTACGGATTTGATGCGGCCGCTCCCGCGAACCCTGCGAACAAGCTCGCGCCGAACGTCGCACCAATCCCGCCTTCGTTCACGATCCCGTGTGAAATCAACGACGTTTTCCTAAACAAAGTCAGGATATGCGCACAAGGAAGCAGGGAGTCGACTACGTACACTTGGTCATACACGCCGAGCTCGGCGGCGTTTACAATGAAGCCTCTGGTCACGTTCGGTCCCACGCCCTTCATAAGAGCCAAGGTCATGGTCACGCAAACTCTGTCGTGGATGACAATGGCGCAGGGTTGGGAGGCGATACCTTGAGGAATCCCCGGAATCCCTCAGTTCTGTAGATTTTGGTCATGGCATCGGCAATGCCGCTGTACAAGACTCCGCTTCGGTCAGCCTGTCCAAGTCGAAAGCGTCAGGTGGTGATGAATTAGTCAAGTTTCTCACACCTGCATGCGAACCTTGATCACATCGACCCTGCGGAACGATGTCATCATCCGACGAAGTCATGAGATGACGTACGGATTCGCAATGCTGATGCTGAACGCACCGGCAAGACCGCCCGCCATGAGCTTTTGGACAAAAGACATGCCAGCAACACCCTCTTCTGCGGCATTCCGCCCATGTAACAGCATGATGGCATCGCGGAACGGCTCGTAAAGCACCATGCACATGCTCGAATAGACGAATTGACGTGCAACGGCAGGTCGCGCGCCTTTCCACAGTGCTGTCGGGCCTTCATCTGTCGCAATCTTCCGTACTGCATCCAACATGCCCGTGTATCTCACGGACGAAGAAGCACCAAGGACGTTGCTTGCACTCGCCATGCCTTGAGCTTGCAACCGCACTTTCGTGATATCCACGGGCAAAGTTGCCATCTCGGCGGTGGCGGACGCGACAGCACCGGCCGCAAACCGCACGTAGAGCGAGTCCTTTTGCATCTCGGCAGCCGCGCGCGTTGATCGCAATGCCGTCCACCGTCCAGCAGCAAAGGTGGATGCCCCACGAATCCCAACGAAATGTTCGAATCTGGAGAGGGAACGTGGGTTATATTTAGAACGGCCAGGGAGTTCCCTAATACAAGTACATCGATGATTCTGAGATGGAGCACTTGAGGAAAGATGAAGACGCGAGGTGGCATGGAGCTCGATATGGCGCATTTTTGAGTTGTATGTGAGTCTTCTCGCCGTCAAAGCATTCGAGGACGAATAGTTTCTCTTTGTGGTCGCCCCGTACCAGTGACATATCGAATGACAATGTACTTGTTGACGGGATTTCCGCCATCCATTGTTGAAGGTGGCGTAAAATGGGCAAGAACAATCCTTAGCTTTCCTGTGTCGGCAGTGGCGCTGCTGCTACCGCCATTTCAGGGCGTCACTTGGACCTTCACGTCCTTCGTTACGTAGCCTGACTGGGAGACGTGTCAACACGTATTGGTGAAAACAATGCATGCGCAACCCTTCGCACGTCTTAAGAATTGCTGACACGGTTGGGCAGACATTGGAGCTCCGCGCACAGGGCGGGCTGGTACGAAGTACATGACGGAGCGTACGTAAAGTTCTTCTTTGTTTCGGCCTTGTCATGCAGCCTCCATCGTTCTCGCCGCCTCCATCTCTCGCCCCGCGTTCATTCGTCAGGCGATCTTGCTACATTATAATCTTCTTTTGGCCGTTGTTTATCCGGAGGGTTGTCCGGATACCATTATTCAAACCTGCAGCTTGGCACCAACGCATGATGGGAGGGGACGAAGTGCCCGCGGATGCGGCGATTGAGATCGAGACCGACGTGAAGGTGGTCGATGGATCGGTGGAGCTTGCTCAATGGCACCGCGCAGAGATCGAGAACGAACTGTCGGAGCTGGATGACTCGAGCGAGCGAATAAACGCGGTCGCAGATCTCTTTCTCCTGCACAACGAGGACAGTGAGGAGCACGCCGAAGCGTTGTGTACACTGTGGATGAGCAACCTGCGCAACAGTGACACCCACGATCGAATCCCGTTCTTGTACGTTGCAAACCACGTATTGTTTAAGAGCGTGAAAGCGCAGTCGTTTTGGTTCCAAAAGAGTTTGCTGAGGTATCTTCCTGAAGCCGTCTCGTTGGTGAGCAATTCCCCCGCCGACCGCGACACTGTTCTCAAGATCTTGCGCTTGTGGAACGATCAAAAGCTGTATCCGCTGGAAGACCTCCGCGTCATGTGGAAGGAGACGGGGGAACCACTTCCTGTGGCATGGCAGGACAAGGAAGCGGTTAAGGACAACATCGTAAAAGCACAGGAGGAGCAGGCCGGTGAACTCGAGCCTGACTTGCCCATGGGACTGAAGGCTCGAGCTGCGCATCCGGTACATTGTCTCTATTTCGCCCACCTCACTTCTGACGATGACTAGGTGGTGGACTGCTTGAAACAGATCGACCACGCCAAGCGCGTGGTGGAGTACCTCGAAGCGGTGCTGCAGACACAACACAAAGACTTGCTCAGGCTGGCGCATGGCAAATACTTCGCCACGGCGGCAGAGATCGAAGCCAAGGAATCGCCTGTGCACATGCGCGACAGGATGGCCAACGCATTGCAAATTCTCCGTGTTCGCAATGTACGTCGAATCGACGATTCATGTGAGACTCATGCGGCTGTCGAGTAGAAATACGTGCAAAAGCTGGTGACGCTGCAGACTAAGCTTCGGGAAATGGCTCAAGCACAGCTTGTGGAAGAGGTAAATTTCTCGTTGCTCCATAAGCGAAGAAGAGTGCTGAACATGATTTGATTTACTTGACCATTGGTGGTGGGTGGTAGAACGCAGCGCTGGAACGCCTTGAAGCCAAATTTGAAGTACGTTAGAGACGCTTTCGCTGAGGGAGAGCGACATTGTGTTGAAAAAGCCTCATGTAGCAATGCGATGCGATTGACGTGGGGCTGGCAGATTTGGCGGACCATCGATCCAAGTACCCCGACGAGGTTCGTGTTGCGTTTTCCACGTCGAGATGTTGATCGTGGAATGACGTAGTGGGCAAAGGAAGCTGAGAATGCAAGGGAGCGCAAGCGACTTCGCGAGCTGGAAACGAAACGCATCGAGGAAGAAGCGGCGTTGCGCCAACAGGAAGCTTTGGCTGCTAACGCTAAGATTGTCTCGTTGTTGGAGGAAGACGTCGCGCAAGCTCGTGCTATGGACGTCCAAACGTTGGTGCTTCAGCAGATCGCCGAAGAAAAAGACCCGACAAAGGAATACGTGTGGCATCCGTACGTTCGTAATCTGCTGCGTCGTCGCGATCTCATGGGGAGGGTTCGCATCTAGGGTGCTTCGAGAACTGGTGCCGCTAAAGAGCTTGAACCAGCAATCCGAAGACTGGCGAGATCACTAGATAGACCAAACGCTGTTAGAACGAATGGCACGTGCATGCTGTGGCTGTTTGTGTCAACCCACGTTGCTCATTATGCGCGGAAGAGCGATGCATCCTCCCTCGTCGAGCGCGAATCGGCGCCGTCCTCTTCCTCGTACTGTACTCGTCCTTGCACAGAACTGGCGTCAAGTGTCACGTGGTGTTATCCGGATTCCATCGACTTGAACCAGTTTTTACGTGTTTAGACTATGCTTTTGTATCCAATGAAGTAACGTGATTAAAAATGATGGAGAATATCCGGATACCGAGCAATTTGGTTCATGAAACCTCGGCGGCAGAAGTACATACGGACGTTCGCAACCATGATGGACTCGGCCGCCCACGGCGCATCAGAGCTGCACGAGGACGCAGCAGACGACTACGGCACGTCCAGAGGTACTAGTCCTTAGACGTAGAGAAAACCCAAACGGTACCGAGGAGAGTTCATTCAGACGCTCAGTCATTCTAGGCTTCTTCTCATTTGCGTCACAGCTGGGTCGCCAACTGACACAGGATGCAATGGACTTGTCAACGTCCGCCGTGGAAACTGCCAAGTACTTGGCTGTCGAGTCGACGAAAGTGGTTGAAAAGGCGAGTCTCCTTGCGCAGGAGTCTCTGGCAGAAGCGTTCGATGCACCGGAAGAAACCCCGCTCGACTTGATTGCCGAGTTGCCTTGGATGGATGATGTGCGTCATGTTTACCTCCATGACTTCTCCATCACTCGTCGCACACACCTGACCATTGAGATACATAGGAGGGACACATCCACGAGAATGTCAAAGACGGCGTGTTTGCAATCAGCAGGTCAAAATCCAATTTTTCCACTTTGTCCCTTGTTACTCTGCAGCCCGTCTTTGACATCGACGTACGTTCTTCTCTCGAGCACACACGATGCCACCACGTTCTTGACGACAATCTGATGCTGCTTTGATTCTAGCGCTTTGTTCAGATTGCTCCAGCATTGCTAGCTCTGGACGAGCACCTCCGACAGGTTCGCCTCAAGGTGCCGTCGATAGCTTGCCATTTTGACCCTGCTTCCTCCGTAGCGCCACTTTGAACTGTCGTACAAACTCGCGGAAGACGTGTTCTGGGGCAACTACTTTTACCACTGTCACGTCCTTCGAGTGGAGAATGGCCTGTCCCCGTACTTGTCGACTCTCGGCACGACCTTGCATGTGCCTGACGTGTCGTCCACCACCGACAACAATCAACTGCACGACGACGGTTCTCTTCATGACGAAGAGAGTGCGGTGAGCGTCGCCGATGAGGAGAATGATCATTTTGACGGAGACGGCGACTCGAACCAGACCATCCATGAAACAGACAAGCAACGTCACCCGTCGACTCCATCGTCTTCATCGTCGGCAACCACGTTCAGCAACATGAAGTCCAACTTGCTCCACCGTTCCGTCCAAGCCAAGCAGAAGATGCAAAATATCAAGCGCAAGATCCACTTTCCGTCGCCGGAAAAGATGAAAGAACTCCAATCGTCGTTGCTGCGCCGCAGATCGAGCATGAGCGAATCTTTCGAGCGCATGTCGATCACGGGCATGTCATTTTCCGGCCTCAAGCGAAGTCCGTCGCTCGTGCGGTATCGATCGAAATCGTATGAAATGCCTTTCGCTTTGTGAATCGTGGGAATGACAACGACTGGCCGTTGTAGGGCGGCAAGCGAGCCAGACGACGTCGACACGGACCGGCTGAGTGAGCTCGGGACACCGCCGTCCGCCACGGCTGAGCGCACGCAATTTTTTGATGATTAACGAACAATTCGGTTCGTCGTGGGGTGTGTGTGTCGCGGGCGCGTTGGCTGCCGTATTCCTTTTTCATGCTGCCGTCGTTTGAGGAACACGATGCGCTCGTTTGGCCGTTGGCTGTGGGTTTGGAAAAAGATGTCGCCCGCGGATGGAGCGAGAAGTCGAGCGATTCCCTGAGAACGCGACAGGTCTGGCAGCTCGGTGAGCAGGGCACCTTGGGAGGTGGAGGACCGCGCCGCATCGTGAGGCGTGGGTTGATGATGGTGGGAATGTTGATGTCAACCTGACCGAATGCGTTGTCGTGAAGCCGTCGTGATTGTAAATGAAAATTCTTCATACAATTCTAGAATGAAAATATTGAATTTTTTAGTTTTACACGACGACGGTGTGGATCATCCCATGGTTAAGAGTGTTTTTCCCTGTAAAAACTGCACTCCGCCATTCTTCCTACATCGACGGTGCACCGAGATGGCGCTGAAGCCCTTTGGTACGCCGCAACGTGCATCCCGTCCGGCACGCTATGGCATTCTCACTGTGCATATGTGCACGATGTAGGGCGGTTTGAAGAGCACAGCGGTGGCTTGCCATGGTCCATCTTCCCACGGAAACGCTTGGACATTACGTACTCGGACATCATGTCAGCGATTGCGTCGTGCTTTTCACTGAACGAAGCTGACCGCGATAACCTTGCGACGGAATTGGAGACCGCGTTTGACCCGCACGGTCGAGCTCTCGCTTGCCTCTCTGTTCGGTGCGTCTGGAATCCTCTCTTGTCGAAACACGACAACGCATTCTAGCACTGGGTTCGACCTGTTTTTGCAAGCCATGGCATTTCCAAAAGGCAGCGAGATCATCTGCTCGTCCATTACAATCCCGGACATGCTCAAGGTTATCCATCACCATGGTCTTGTCGCCGTGCCCGTTGACCTCGACGAGGACACTCTGGCAATGCAAATGGACGTGTTGGAGCACTCCGTGACTGCCGTACGTCGACCTTTCGCGCGCGCATGGCCACGACTCACGGTCTGTTGCTACATGTTGCAGAATACCAAGTGCATTCTGGTCGCTCACGTCTTTGGAACGTTAAACAACTTGGACGCCGTGTCGGCGTTTGCTAAGTCGCACCACGTCCTCCTTGTCGAGGTAATTCCTTCTCCACGATCCTCCAGCGCTTCGATCATGCCCCTTGCGCCATGTTCTCGTCCTTTGTAGGATTGCGCTCAAGCATACTGTGGTCCGTCCTACAATGGCCATCGTGACACCGACATTGCGCTCTTCAGTTTTGGGACTATCAAGACGTCGACGGCGTTCGGCGGCGGTATCGTGCGAGTCTCGGATCGAGCGATCCTGCGCACGATGCGTGCCATCAATAACTCGTACGCGCCGCGATCTCGCAAGTTTTTCCTTCACCGGTTGATCAAGTACTCGGTGCTGCACTCGTTGACGACGCCCGCCATGTTTGGTTTATTTTTCAACGCCGTGTCCAAACTCGGATGTACGTTGGTTGCTCGATCCCCTTGTCGTTTTTCACGGCGCTGCGAGTAGATAGCGCGGACGACGTGATCACGGCGCAGATTCGTGGATTTGCAGGAGACTTGATCACTGGCATCCGCCAGCGCCCGTCCATGCCGCTCCTGTTTCTTCTCCACCGCAAGCTCACGACGTTTGACATGGAATATGTCGCGAAACGAAAGTACGGAGGCGCGGTGTGCGGCCTCGAGTGTTTTCACATGATGGATGCAGGAGCAAAAGCGAAGAGCTCGAGCAACTCATTCGCAACATCCCGCAAACGTCGGTGCCGGGCGTGCATGCAAAAAACCACTACTACTGGCTCTTCCCGGTCCTCGTGCCCAACCCCCGCCAAGTTGCGGCCGCCATGATTCAAGATGGCTTTGACGTGACCGCCGGCGCGACCCAACTGGCGTTTGTGCCCCAGTAAGACCGTCTTGCAATCTCGTCTGCATGTGGAATGGATCGCTCTGTAGTCCCACGGATCGATCGTACGACCCCGTCATCTCGAAAAAGGTGATGCAGAACCTCGTGTACCTCCCCGTGACCGCGGAAATGCCTCGCTGGGCGTTGGAGAAGATGGCTGCCTCCCTCGCCAAGGCCGTCGCCGCCGCTCCTTCGTCCAAGCTTTGAGCTTCACCCCTTCTAGCTGGCGACTAACGCGCTTTTCATGCCGTGGCTTTCAATTTCGTTCTGTCGTTCGCACACATCATTGCCTCCCCCAGCAAGTCTTTTTGGTCGTCCATGCTGAAGACCTGTTCTTTGCACGGCGCGCGTCTCGAAAGAGTCGAAGTCACATACGCGCAATTGGATTCGTTTTTCTTGAGTTGTTGTAAGTCCTAACAGTTGCATGGCTGAGGCGTCCATTAATCTAAGTCCATCTTGTCGCCTTCCTTCGTGTCTTCCTCGGTCGTGGTCGACGTCGCGGGAGCAGCCGGGGGTTCAACCTTGGGCAAAGGCTTCGGCTTGTTGATGATCGGGGTCGCCAGAGCACGAGTTTCCTCGAGCTTGGCTTCGATCTGAGCCACCGTCACGACGGGCGCCGCGGTCAACGGGACGTTCGCTTGGGCATTCAATTGGTCAAACAACCACGTTTCAGCATTCGTCGCGGCATCCCGGACCTTGGCAGAGTCTTCGTCCGTCCAGTGCGAATACTTTTCGTCGGTCGAATTGGCGAGCTTCTTGTACTCCTCAATCAACGCCTGCAACTTCGCCTGGGCGTCGGGGCGGTTCTGGTGTTCTTGGTATCGGGCATCAATCGGCTTGGACACGACACGCAATTCATCCAATTTGGCTTGGTACACCGACTTGGTCGAGTCAAAGCCTTCGTCCGAGTACAGCCAGTCTTCCATGTCGTTCAACTTGGCTTCAAACGATTCGCGGTCCGCGGTCGAGACAAATTCGCTGTATTTTTCGCCCAAGTGGTTGCGCATGTCATAGACAAAGGTTTCGAGTTCGTTGCGCTTGTTTGCAGTTTCTTCGATCACGCGGTCTTGTTGGGCCATGGCCAACTCATCTTCGGACGCGCGGGTCACTTCCGACGACGACAAGCCGTTCACTTGCGATTCAACCTTGAGTTCGACCTTGCGGAAGCGCTTCTTCTTCGGGCCTTCTTCCGCCTTCTTCTCTTCGCCTTCTTTGGCTTCGACCTCCTTGGTTTCATCTTCCTTGATTTCCACCATCATTTGGCCCGAAGCGACTTCAAACAACCCGTGAATATCTTGGCGCACGTTCACACGGATGCGAGGCGCTTCGCCATTTTCGTCAGCACACATGCCCGAGATGGTAAACTTGCCCAAGTTTGTGTACGGGCTAGGGGGCAAAAACGGCGTGGCTGTCTCGTCGTAGTGGGCGTCCACGACCAAAGGGTCCGATCGGCGAAACGAGATGCGCTTCGTCGTGGGAAAATCATCCTTGCGGGTCAAGATCAAGATCGAGTCGGCGTTGGCAGTAGGTTGGGCAGCTGCAGGTCCATCCGTTTCGTCTTCGTGCGTATCGTCTTCCGACGACGTTGCACCTTCCCACGACACGCGAATCGGGTAATTGTTGATGTCCGAAATCGAAAAGTCCTTGACCTTAAACAAGGGCGACAAAATGGCGCACTGCAAAGCACAGCCGCGTGCAACAGCTTCGTCGGCGTTCAACGTCGTGCTCAAGCCCATGTTGGGCTTTTCCTTGTCGAGACCGAGAATGTCGGCGAGGCGGCGCTTGACCGACGCGACACGCACACCACCACCGACGATTTCGACGCAGCTCAACTTGTCGGCAGTGAGGCCAGCGTCCGCCAACGCCGACTGAATCGGAGCTTCCAAGCGTTCGAGGAGCGGAGCGATGAGAGTTTCGAATTCCTCCAGGCTCACCTTGGACGCATAGTCGATTTCGTCGACGAGGCATTCAATGTTAAGTGCAGAGGACGTCACACCTTGGGGACTGAGGTTCTTCTTCGTCTTTTCACAGGCCGACAACAGCTTCAGGCGAGACTACACCACATAAACAGTAAGCACACTTTTCGCGACTGCTGACAGCAAACGGGTAGTACCTTGGCGTCCGCCAACGGGTTTTTCTTGTGCTTCGCTTCAAACTTTTCAGCGACATCCTTGGCCAAAGCAAAGTCGAAGTTGCGACCACCGAGGAATCGGTCGTACGCGACGGCTTTGACTTGCAACTTGCCTTGGACAAAGTTCACGATCGACACGGTGTAGCCAGAGTGACCCATGTCAATAAACATGACGTGTTCGGGGTTGGTTTCGTGGAACAAGTTGCGGACCGACTTGTAAATACCGTAGCCGAGGGCAACGGCCGTGTGTTCGTTCATCAAGCGGAGGCAGTTGAGCCCAGCGATCTTGGATGCGTTCAGCATCGCACGGCGTTGCACATCGGTGAAGTACCCAGGGCAAGACAGAACACCGTAGGCAGGTCGCACATTTTCGTTTGCAACGGCAGCAATGTTTTGCAACTTGTTCAACATCATGGCAACGACTTGTTCGCACGTGTATGTCACTGGGTTGTCGTTGTAGTTGAGAACGATGCCAACTTGGCCCGACGGCAATTCGACGCACTTGAAGCCGTAGTTCTTGATTTCTTCTTGGACATCTGGGGCAGAAAACTTACGGCCGATCAAACGCTTAACATCCGTTGCCGTGTTCTTGTAGTTAGTGCGCGCCTACATTCGACAAGTAGCGTCAAAATAGATATTCGACATTTCATCATGCAAACAAAATGCATACCATGCTCACGGCGGCTTCCCCAATGTAGCGTTGCTTGCCCGCCATGCAGACCATGTTCCTACAATTGCCGTGAGATTCAACTACAATAATCCACAGTCATCACGTACGGGTTCTTTCGGTTGGAGTTCTCATTGAGGATAATGTCAATGCCGCCGCGCTTGGCTTGAGCGACAACGCATTCGACGTTCCCGAAGTCAATCCCGATCACCGACATGTTTCCTTGGACAGAATCAATGCAAAATGGCTACGGACGGCCCCCCCACCGATTTAGGGAGTTTGAATTTTAGCCAATCATCGAGATCTCATAAAAATTCCCAGGAGTTTGATTGGTGCAATGCGCCAGCTTCGAGAATATTCGTGTCCCATTCATGCATGCGTTGTGCGAGAGTGACATTTCTGGAATGGCGCCAAGCCAATTTCGATATTAAATTTCAAAGGTTATGCATTCCAAAATCCAACGCGTCGTCATGGAGACCACGTGGACGCGACAGCGCGAATCGACGTGTGTCAGGAAGCCAAGATCAAACATACATGCCTCATCATGCTTTACGTCGAGACAACCGCACTTGCTGGTGCGCCAGTGCTGCCAAGGCAGGAAGGGTTTGGCAGGGTGGAATGTTGTCGTCGCACAATTGTTGGGGTGGATGTTCATATCCAGGGAGGAGATAAACCCCCGCCACGCCATCGTCGTCGAATCCAGTCTCGACCAGTTCACGAAGGTCTGCATGCGCCTTGAGAAGTTGGGCCCACTCCGTCACTTGCTGCTGAGCAAGTGCAACGAGCAATGCCTTCACGTGCTGCTGCAGCAGGCGTTCATGTTCGACTAGTCGCGGAAATGGCATTTTGCACGAAAGCAGCAAGCTTGTCACCTTGTCGAGAAGTGGCTGCAATACCGTCGCCGAGTCATCCTTCGCCTCGCCACGGGCTTGCATGTCGCTGGTCCATTGCAACACGGACGGCAAGAGGTAGGGATAAAAGTCACACGTTCGCTGGACAAGTGGGTGGCATTCCCGAGATAATGCTGACGGTAGCACCGCTTCCATCACTGTATTGCGCCACGACTCGAACGATTCCTGCCAAGCATTGGCATTCGATTCGAGTGGAACATGCTGGCCATAGCCGCGATAAAGCCACTCTTTGGACGCCGCCCGATGAAGCACAATGCGGCGCAGGACGTAGCTGATGTGCACTGCATAAAGCCCAAATTCATGGATATTGGTCGCGGTGGACGCTGCGGACGCCACCATGGTTTCGTGGAGATGGCAAGTCTCTTCCAGGTCAGCGTTGGGTTGCATCGAGTGGAGAAGCTCTGCCTTGGACAAGTCGGACATATCTGGGAAGCTGTCGTCCAAACATTGGAATGGATGAGGAAGCAGCTGGTCATGCATGAGCACCAACGCATTGCAAAGTCGAGGGGCTGGCATCGGCACCACGAGCGCCACACGCACGAACGCAGGGAGAAGCAGCGAGCTAGGACATCGTTTCCCGAGATGATCTCGCTGCATGCGGCGTTGAATCTTCAGAAGGTCTTCGTTGGCCGCGCTGTGCCACGTCGTTGCTGTAGGAAGTGGGACATGGGCAGCAAGGGCCTGGATCGCGACGAGATGCCGCATCCGCGCATCTGCAAGACGCTTCTGTCGTTTGGCAGCTCGGAATTCCTTCCTCAACTTGGCGTAAGCACTGCCCAACCTAGCAATATCTGCGACGGATGACTGCAAGGTCGACGTCCACGCGACCAACGCTGACGAAGGAAGGGACGATGGCGTGGGTGATTCGGAAGGACTCGGTAACTTTCCAAGTACAAAAAGTTCACTCGACTTCGAGGGCGTGGAGCTTTGCATGGCTTGTGCGACATGTGTGGCAGCTCCCTGGGGCTGTGGCGTGGTTGCATGCAGCACAGGCAATGAGGCGGCAGTGACGGCGTCATGCGACTTGTTACAGTGCGATAATGTGCCATCGAGAGGACAGATGGAGGGGACGGCGCTTGTAGCGATGCTGAGATCTTTCGAGGAAACAGTTGAGATGGTCTTCGGCGTCTCACGCTTTGATACATTTTGTGCGCTTGACAACGAGTTGGGTACTCCCCCAGATGACAATGACAATTTCACGATGGCTTGGGGGGCTTTGCTTTTGTTTTGCTCTGGGCGTGGGGGAGGCGAGGTTGGAGTTCGTGTCGGAGTGTCCAAGATTTCGATGACATTGGGCTCTTGTTGACGTAGACGTTTCTTTGGCGTCATCTCCTGTGGCGGCGATGCATTCGTGGTGCTAGGATTCCGCGGAGTCTCGCTCGTGGAAACAGGGGAAGCATTTTGTACAATGGGTGCATGAGTCAAACGCGGCGCTGTCCGTGGAGGAGGTTTGATGGAGTTTACACATTTGCGAATGGGTACGGGTTGGGGCACGGGGGTTGCAGATACGACTGCATGTACACGATTCCGCCCCTTTGACGCAGCTGGTTGCTTGGATGAAGCCGTGGGTTGAGCAGTCGATGCGCTGGTCCGTTGAGATTTGGCGACTTTTTGTTTGTGGAGGACGTTCTGGTGTGCGTCGTCAATCAACTGCTGTGCCAGCCTTGCTCCATGGTTCGCTCGAAGCACATTTTGGCCTGCAACTGAGATATAGCTCTGCGATGCTGATGAGGCCACCTTGAGTTTCAGCGTTGTGTTGGATGTGGCCCCTGCAACCGTAATCTTGGCACCTCGATGGCCGACGATGTGTGGAATCATCGCGCTGGCAGTATCATCATCTATGCCGTCGGGAAAATTGACTCGCTGCATCGCCATGCTTGCTATTGGCGTCAGGTTTTCCTCCCGCATCGCGCCACCGAAGGACGCGCCAATCGAGATGCCCGACATGGCCGATCTCGCGCGGAAAAGAATGGAAAATCGACCGCGGATTGAATTCGCACTATTATTGGTTAAAAAGAATGGATTAAAGTCGAATTTATCGGATGGAATTGGTTGAAACTGTTGAATTTCAACTAATGAAACGCCGCAAAACTGCTCCGATTATTTCCACTCGCGTTAGAGGGGCAGCGAATAGCCACGTCGTCCGGATGAACGAACGTTGAAAGCCATGCGATATCTTGGTCGACCATGGCATGCATCATCATGCGCTACGTTTCGCTCGTTGGGACAGCTGAGGAAAGATCCATCGCCCAAGTTGTGGTGGTAGCGTCAATCTGAATGGTGGTCGTGATGTTATCCGGATCCTTGTGGATATCCGGATCTCTGCGCATCACAAGAATGTGTTGCGGGAATCACTGGTCGCATGTTGCATTTTTGATCATTCTCGGAATATGGCGAACCGCGTCACGGTCGGATCAAAGAAGCTCAGCTTGGAGGAGTTCAGCTCTGTCGCCTTTGTCGGGGCGAAAGTGACATTGGAGCCGCTGGCTGCGGTCGAGTTGCACAAGGACGATGCGGCCCGCGTTGTGACGTTACCGGCAGCTGACGTGTCGGCAGACAATTCGTATTTGTCGCCAGTACTCGGACGTGCGTACTTGCTGTCACGTGTCAACTTCATCGTCAAGCACGCAGGACTTCGCTCGGCTGCCGTCCTTGAAACTTTGGACTTTCTCGTGGCGTTGCTCAACGCCGACCTCATTCCGCAAATTCCTGCCCCCACTACGAAACTCGTTGAAGTCGATGCTGCATCCATCGCGCTGTTGGAAGCCTTGAAAGGCCACGGCAAGGCTACTCTCAAATCGAGCAAAATTGTTACGTTGACGGACGGTCTGACTTCCACCAGTCTCACCCTACCGTCTGCGCTGTCGTCGATCGAGCAAGCCACGTTAACGCAAGGCGGTGGCTCTCTTCAAGCAGTTGTAGCGTCCATCGTGAGCGGCGCCAAGGGTCTTGCGCCCATTGCGGATGCAGCTGCCGCTCTCACCTGCGAAGCACTCAAGGCATCCCCTGCGCCGTTCCAGGAAACCCACGATGCTTCTCGCCCTCACCGAGGCATGCTCACGGTTGCCACCAACCTTCGGGTGATGTTGGACAACTCCAAGTACGCTGTTGTGACCGAAAAAGTCGATCCGTTGGCAATTCGTTCGATTCCACAGTACCACGGTCCTGCGCGCGACACCATCGCTGCGGTCGCCAAGACCGTCGAAGCCGACTTGAACGCGCCGGGCGCCTCGCTCGGTCTCTCTTCGTTCCACCCGGAATTGCTCAAGCAGTCGCTCTTGTCTATCCATAGCGCTGTGGAAGCGCTCTTCGATGGTTCCCGCGGCCGAGTGGCTCTTCTACCGTCGTCTATTTCTCCCGCTGAAGCGGCTAGTAAGGTGGCTACGCCCGTCGCTGCATTCTTGTTGGTGGAAGCCACGGCTGCACAACTGAATGCCGAAGTTCGTGCGGCTCAATCGATCTTGGCGACCCAAGAGGCCACGCAAGGAGGAGCTGGGAAAGACGCCGACTCGGCCAAGTCGGCAGAAATTGCGGCCAAGCAAGCGGCAGCTGAAGCCAAGGAAGATGAGGCTCTTGCTGCGATGAGCGAAGCCCAACGCGCTAAAGTGTTGGAGAAGCGCCGGCAAAAGGCTGAAAAGCTCAAGGAAAAGGCGGCGAAGAAGGCGGCGAAGGACAGCTTGAGCGCTGGCGTCGGTAGCTCCGCGTTCCGGTCATTCTTGGCTTCCTCCCACGGCAGCGGTGCTCTCAGCCCGTTCGATTTCCGTGTCCAAGGCGCCGTCGTCTTCCTCGAAGAGTTGTACGCGCGACTAAGTGGCCTCAGTGGTGGCCAGAAGCGGCGCCCAAAAATTGCCAAGGGCGCGCAGGATTTTTTGCCCCCGCAAATGCACCTCCGCGAGCGCATCTTCCATAAAGTTCGCGCCGTCTTCAAGCGCCATGGCGGCGTCGAAATTGAGACTCCCGTGTTCGAGCTCAAGGAAACCCTGACAGGCAAGTACGGCGAGGACTCCAAGTTAATCTACGACTTGGCTGATCAAGGGGGTGAGTTACTGGCCCTTCGGTACGATTTGACGGTGCCTTTCGCGCGGTTCATGGCCCTCCACAACCCCGGCAACATGAAGCGGTACGCCATTGCCCGAGTCTACCGCCGCGACAACCCGCAAATTGCGCGAGGTCGGTTCCGTGAGTTCTACCAGTGCGACTTTGACATCGCTGGCGTGTACCCGACCATGTTGGCCGATGCCGAGGTGATCTCGATTGGGATTGAAGTGCTGCAGCAGTTCCCAGAGCTCGGGCCGTTCAAGATCAAGTTGAGCCATCGCAAGTTGCTCGACGCAATTTTGGAAATCTGTGGTGTCCCCGCCGACAAACTGCGCACGACGTGCAGCGCCATCGACAAGCTGGACAAAGAACCGTGGGAGAACGTCCGTGCCGAAATGGTGGACGAGAAGGACATTCCTGCCGACGTTGCCGATCGTATCCAAGGCTTTGTCACGCAAGTGGGCCACCCCAAGACGTTGCACGCACAACTGGTGGCGGAGAAGCGCTTCGGCGACCACCCTGCCGCCGCCGAAGCGATGAAGGAACTTGCGTTGCTGTGGTCGTACTTGGAAGCGATGGGCGTGCTTGATTTCGTCTCGTTCGACCTGTCGCTTGCCCGCGGATTGGACTACTACACCGGGCTCATCTACGAGTTTGTCCTGACGGGTGCCGACGCGACGCAGGTCGGATCGATTGCGGCCGGTGGTCGATACGACAATTTAGTTGGGATGTTTTCGGCCACGAATGCGCAGATCCCGTGCATCGGTGTGAGTTTGGGCATTGAACGCATCTTTGGCATGCTCCAAAAGCACGCGGAGAACCACGGCGACGGCCTCAAGACGCCTGTGTCCCAAGTGCTGGTGACGCAAACGTCGGCGGGCCTGCTCGTCCCGCGCCTCGAAGTGTGCCAGAAGCTGTGGGCCGCGCACATTGCCGCCGAGATCCTCCCGTCCGAGAACCCCAAGTTTGTCAAGCAGCTCCAACACGCGCTCGACACAGGTATTCCGTACATTGTCGTGCTCGGGGAAGACGAAATTGCCAACCACCAAGTCAAAGTCAAGGTGCTCGCGACCAAGGAAGAAGTCACGATCGACGAAAACGACCTGATCGCGACTCTCCGCCGCTTTGGCGTTGCCACGACGAACGTCGTGAGTTGGGATTAAGTAGTAGCTGCACCACCAGTTGCCAACTCGAATCGATCGATCGCTCTTTGTGTGTGCACACGTGGAAGGGTCTCGACGATCCCTTTGGACGCATCAAAAGCGATCAAGGTCGCATGGAATCCCTCGCCACGTCCGCATGGAGCCAGTCGCTGCATCATCGAGTCGACTGCTCGTGCCAGATGACACTGGAACGACGAGCTGGCGTGGAAAGGAAATATTGAGGGGATGATTTAGTGGACTAGAGACACATTCACACACAGTAGGCAGCACTAAGTGTTGGCGACGTGCTGGTGGGGCTCGAGGTGGTGGTGGGGATGCTTGGCATACCCGATCGACTGGAGAGCGACGAGGATGTCGTCCAGGACAGCTTCGTTTTCAATCGTGGCGGGGATCGCAAACGGTTTGTTGTCGGCCATCGTTTGAATCGTGCGACGGACAATCTTACCCGACCGCGTCTTGGGCAAGTGGTCCACGACAACCACGTGTCGAAGGCACACAAACGCTCCAATTTCTTGGCGCACACGCGTCACAATCGCTGCCGACACGTGCTCGTTCGACTCGCCTGCGTTCGACTTGAGAACAACGAGCGCGATCGGCACTTGGCCCTTGAGCGTGTCGGCCACTCCCACCTAACGCCCCACGATGACTCGAGCCACGGCAATCGATGGCGTACCACAGCGCACTCGGCCACGTTGTCGTCGCGTTGAATCACTTCTTCAATCGCGCCCGTGCTCAACCGATGGCCCGCGACGTTGATGATGTCGTCCGTGCGCGACATGATCTACCACTGCCCCAGTTAGCATGCCAATGAAAGCGCCGTCGGCATTACATAAACGTAGTTGTCGGGATCGATGAAGCCGGCGTCACCCGTTGTGTAGAACCCCGGGTTCTCGGCCATGTACTTGGATACGTACTCGGCTTCGTTGTTGAACAGCGTCGTGAAACAACCTGTACAGCCGGGCATGTCGTGAGAAGCTCGAGCAAACGGCGCGAACCTGGAGGCAGCGGCAATCGGAGCAAGATGCTGCCTTCCTTGACTTCGTTCGGGTCCTCCGTTGGCTCGTCGTGGTTGTGCAGCACGACATCAAAGCCTGGAACAGGACGCGATGCCGACCCGAGTTTGATGCCGGGACACTCGCGACCGTCCAGCCTGGTCTGGTTCATGCCCATCATCTGAGAGCACACGGGAAACCCAATCTCGGTCTGCCACCAATTGTCCACGATCGGGATCTTGAGCTCGTTCATGAAAAACTCGATCGTGGCGGGGTCCCCACGCTCGCCGGCGACAAACAACGACCTGCGCCATACACTTGAGACACTGTGCGGACGCCAACGAGCTCGAAAAATGATGCGCGCAGTACCGGAGGTTCTTCATCTTGGACGCATACTTTTCCACTTGCAACGCGTTCGGATCCTCCTTTCGAATGGCGCGCAGAGCCGTCGGCGCAGTAAACATGCTGCGGACATTGTATTCGGACACGACTCGCCAGAACGCACCCGCGTCCGGCGTGCCCACCGGCTTGCCTTCGTAAATGACCGACTAGAGGACCACGTAAAGCCCTGCGTTGTGCTTAAAACGCACCGTGCAACCAAGAAAGAGAGGTCCGTATACGATGAACGAGTGCCCGACGACCCAGCCGAAATCGGACGCCGCCCACCATGCATCGCCAGGGTGAAGCCCAAGCACGTGCTGAAAGACCCACTTGAGCGCAACATTGTGGCCGCCGTTGTCTCGCACGACGCCTTTGGGCTAATGGCCGCAGCACGTGAGAACATTCCGTGACGTCGAACCAACAGTACCTTGCCGGTCGTGCCAGACGTGTACAAGATGTAAAGCGGGTCGGTCGCCTTGACGGGCACACACGGATGCGGCGTAGCATTTTGGACAAACGCATCCCAGCACACGTCGCGGGGCGAGTCGATGTTGTAGTGGCATTGATCACGTTGTAAGATCACGCATCGCTGCGGCTGATGGGAGCTCAGTGACAACGCGCCTTTGAGAAGGCTTTCGTATTTGATGACGCCCTTGGGCTCGAGGCCACAACTCGCCGCCAAGATTACCTTTGGCGACGCATCTTCAATTCGAATGGCGAGTTCTTTGGAGGAAAACCCTCCGAAGACGACGGAATGAATGGCGCCGAGACGCGCACATGCCAACATGGCGACCGCTGTCTCCGGGACCATCGGCATGTAGATGACGACGCGGTCGCCTTTAGTAACACCCTCGGCGGCTAGCGCCCCCGCGAATCGCGACACTAGCACAGACCATTGGCCCCATCATCAACGAAAGGCAAACCATGACGTGGGAAGAATAGAGAGCGAGTACCTTTATCTTGGAGCTCTTTGTACGTGATGTCGATCTTGGTGTTTGTCATGGGGCTGTCGTAATGAATCGCGACTTGGTCGCCGCGGCCGTTGGCAACGTGCTCGTCCACGGCGCTGTAGCACGAATTCATTTCCCCATCGACAAACCACTTGTTGAAAGGCGAGTTAGATTGATCGAGGACGGTCGTGTACGGCTTGAACCAGTGGATGTCCTTGGCAGCTTCGGCCCAAAACGCTTCGGGGTCGGCGAGGCTCTTGTCGTACTCCTCAAAGTAGTTTTTCTTGGTGGACAAGAAAGCCGAGCGCTGCACCGACGAGATGCGCACGAGGCGGCGAAGCAACGACACACGCCGACCTAACATTGCCATCCAAATGCGAAAGTAACCTCGACCTTCCTCCCTCGGGGACACCCATCTGGTCAGGAGATGGAAAAAGGATTGCGATCCGCCCATGTGAAGACGATACATGACAATTTTTCAAAATGGAAACGTTTTATATATAATATAAGTATAGATAATGCAAAATGGGTATAAAGTGGTTCCATTTTTGTGTTTTGAGTTCTTACATAGGTTGGACTGCCAACTCGTGGGCCACCTCTTTCGTTGTGCGCTCGTCGAAATCCCACCGTTGGCCACGACGCGGCGCCGCCCCGCTGAAATGCAGCTGGATAGAGAACATCGGGCGAGCAGCTATGCCGATTTGTGGGACGTGTGGGGAGGGGGACTGTGACTGCACTTACAGCACAGCACATCGATCGTTCAAACGAATCAAAGCCCCAAGCTTGATCGTGACTACGAGCACGAGAACTCGGCGAACCAGCGCAACGACGTGCCCAACCGCTCTTCCTGCGCACTGCAAACCTGGCATGGTTATCGGCGTTGTAGTCACCCCTTTGATGCGTCGAATGTGTGACACAAATGGGATGTGTTTCATATTCTCTCGATGTTCCACGACTGCCGGCGGCGACAATCTCCATCGTGGTTGAACTTCACGGCTGACTGAAGCTGCCGAATCATGCTGCCGATGCTTACTTTGCCTTGGACGGTCGACCAAAGACGAGGTTGACCTTATCCTGTCTGGCTCGGTCACGGGACTGTACTTGGCGGTGCATTTCGTCGACGAAGTTCTCGACGCAGGCCGACGCCACTGCAGTGGCTTCTACGCATCGATATCAAACCAGTGCGCACTGGAGGAGCTCGCTGGACCATACCAGCGCGTAGCAAGAGAGGTCGTAATGCTGTGATGTCTGAGGCTACATCGGCCGCACTTTGGCCAGCCTGCGACTCGTTGAGTGTGACAGAGTGTGCAGTGTCCAACCTTATTCTTGACAGTGACGTCGATGGATGCTGGCACGGTCAGGAGATACATCGCGACATCCTGTCGATGGTGCTGCACAGCCACGTGCAGCGGAGTGTTTCCATCCTGAAGCTTCCTCATCATGCTGTCAAGGAGCAGATGGAGGTGTTTGTGAGGCTTATCACCTGGTCGACGCTTTCGGCATCGGCCGCGTCGGATTGCAGCAGGTCCTTGACGAGGGCAAGGCGGCCGAGTGTACATGCCACATGCAAAGCGGTGCTTCCGTTCTACATTTTCCAAGCGTGATTTGTCTTCGTTGTTTGGCGATGGACCTCGTGGCAATCGTAGTTTGCCAAGTACGTCCGTTCTACAGCGTCTGCGTCATGGCCGCTGGCGGTCGTTGCAACTTACCCAGACGCAAGAGGCTGTTGCGCACGCGAAGATGTTGGCTACCCGCCAAGTCCACAGCGCACTCGCCTCGCTAGACGAAGAAAGGAAGCACGCGCCGAATGGGCAAGCTCCACAAGTACCGCGGTGACGACACATGGGTTCGCTCCTCGCGCCACCAACGCTTCGATCACGTCGTAATGACCACGTTGTGCTGCCACGTGAAGCGGGGTGAATCCATCCTGCACGGGTTGCATCAGCATGCCGTCACGACCGCTTGTGGCCACCACCTTGTTGGGAACGTCGATGTCTGGTGGGGCAGTGTCGCGCGCAATCGCGACGACAGCATTGAGTTTGTTGCACGCGCATGCATAATGCAGCCGTGTGTTGCCGTTCTAATGCATCCTGTCAGTCGACGAACCATCGAGACATCGTCGGGCATGCTTCGTCTGGAAGGATGCAAAGGATCGCTGTCTGGTCTACATATGCGACAATGGTCGGTCTTGCTCGACGGGAAATTGGCGCTCGCACCGTGGTCACGAAGGAATCGAGTGACTTGTGTGTGCATGCGCCACCCCGCCAAGTCGGCCGCAAACTGTCCCTTCTACGCCCCGCGCTCGGCATGCATGCACGTGCTGGAAACGTGTACGCACCTCGTTCGTCAGCAACACGTTGGCATGCGACTCGATCAAGAGGGCGACGCAATCCATGTGGCCACCAAGGGCAGCTTTGTGCAGCGGCGTGCTCCCCGACTTGTTGCGGGCGTTTACGTGAGCTCCGCCATCGATCAGTCGCCGTGCTATCACGTGGTGGCCCGTGACACAAGCATGATGCAGTGGCGTGTTGCCGTCCTGCATTCGACGTGGGGGTTCAATGTCGGCCAAACCCGGACATGCTTCCAGCTCGTACCTTGTCGATTGCGTGGACGAGGGCCGGTGTCGCCGCGAGATACCGGACGACGCGGTCCACTTGGCCACGCAACACGACAGCATGGAGCGGCGTGCAGGACGGCTCGAATGTCACGGGAAGCTTCTTGAGCTCACGCAGTGCATGCATCTTGCGCAATGCCATGGTTGGCAACGTACTCATCACAAACGATCGCGGGGATTCCGCGACCGTGCCCGGCATGACTGCTGCGTGAAACGGGCAATGGGCCGCCGCCGTTTCGTTGCAAACTCTCAAACATGGCGAGACAGGACGAGGCAGGATGTATATTTTTCATGAGCGGCATGTGCCAAACGCAGGGGCCGAAAGGTAGCTACAAAGCAGACATCCTGTCACGGCAACGCGTCGACTTCGCCTTCCGAATGCGCGGTTTGGTACTTGCTTGAATACGCCTTTAGTTCTTGCGACAACTGGGTCAGGTAGTTGCTGTGGGCGCTTGCCGCAGCACTCGCCCGTTCTCGTTTGTGGACCCAATTGCTCAATTTGGAGTCGTACAGCGGGGTGCGAGGAGCTGTCGGCATGAATGGCTCGTAGGCATGGACCCTGCAGGAACCATGATCACCGCAGTCGACACGATGCCGAGCGTACCGTTCTGGGAGTCGAGTGTAGTGGGGTTGGTAAGCATACCCAGCCCAATGCCCTCCCCGATCCACATACGCGTCGACGCTTCGGCTGGGGTACACGACTGAGTACGACGGCTGTGACGGTGCCTCGTATCGTTCAGCGATCTCGGATGGCCACGGAAGCGTGGCTGCTGCTTGCATCTGGCTTCTTGAGTATGTGTGGAGCTTGGCCGACATCGTCGATCCATCGGAAACTAAGTCATCGAGCAACTGCTCCACGTGCACGTCTACGGACGCTTCGGACGGGTCGCCCTCGCCGTCTTCGTCCAAGTCTACCTCGACATCTCGCCCAGAGTCAAGTCAGTGCATGCATTTCAAGCACTACCTTGGTTGCACGAACGGTCCAGCGCGTGTATCTTGCGCTCTCGCTTGACCATCCATTTCTCGGTCGCTTTCAACTCCTTGGCATCGCTTGCCAGCTGATGTGCATGCTACGTGGCCCGGTTCGTCGTGTCGACGGCACAAATGGTTCGACGGACTAGTACCTGCTCGAGAAGGTACTTCATGTTGTCGCGCGCTTTCGTGTGATAATGTGGCCGGCGCTGCCACCACTCCTTCTCGTCCTGCAACTTGGCCATTCGCTGTTTGAGGCTCCTCTTCTGCTTTGTCAAGTACTGCTTGGTCTTGGACAGTAGCTCGTGTTCTTGCTGAAGCCGACGCCGCCACGCATGGTGGTGCGGCTTCGACTCTGGTTTCCTCACCTTTACGGGTTGGCGAGCTGGAGATCGCGATGGACTCATTGCCGCCGCAACACGTGCCGGTTCGTCATGCAGCTTGGTCCATGCGACTGGCACTTCGAACGATCCAGGCTGTAGACGAGAAACATGTGCCAAGTCGTCTTCCCGATTGAGCTGCTTTGTATCTCGCAGGCGCGCCGACAACTGGTCTTCTTCCTGTACCCAACACGTCATTGCAATCGAACATGTTACGGCTCCGACCTCTTGCATCTGCTTGGACAGCGTCTGAAGATGCTTTGTCTGTTTGTGCTGGAGTTCGTGTTCGAGCGCGGCCAGTTTGTCCTGAACGAGGACGTCAACAGATACATGATGCAGAAGTCGACTCACGCGATGGTCTTTGAGCACTTGCCCCAGCTTCATTTGGTTTTCCGACTGGCAGTGATGCAGGGCCGATTGAAACTCGCGTTCTTCTTGGTCCATCCGCTGCGCCTTTTGCTTTTCAAAATCACCAACGAGCTCGTCCAACTGCCGTTCGCAACTCGCACGGACGCGGGCCTTTTGGCGAGCGAGCGCCAACTCCTCGCGCTCGGTGAACTCGCGCAGCTGCGTCATGTACTCGGACCGGACCATTCGTTTTTTGTGCTCGTAGTTGAGTCGTTCGACGGTGCTGAGGCTGTCAAGCGCAGACGTGTGCATGCGTTGGCTGGACGCGCGAAGTGCAGCGTTTTCTACGTGCAACGCCTCGATCTCGAGCGCCAAATCCCGACTACGCGAATCCAGCAGCGCTGCCTTTCGCCGCCAACTTTCGCATTGCATTGTGATGTCGTGCAAATGGGTTTCCAACTCGGTTTTGGAAACCTGGGCCATTTGAAGTTTCAGTTGCGCTGGCCCATTGTCACACTGCGGAGGTATGTCTTGTTGCATTGATGAGATGCGATTCCCGCGGTTGGGGCCGGCGGAGGCCACCGACACCATGAGCTCGTCCTTTTCGGCTAACGCGGTCTTCAACTTTGCTTTGACTTGGTCGAGTTGGTCTTGCCATTCGTTTCGATCTTTTTCAGCTTGCTCCGCGTGAGATTTCGCTTGTGCTTCCAGCTTTTGCTTTAGCGACGACAGGTGCTCCATGTCGTTTTGTGTGGTCGCCAGCTCCTTGGAGACTTGAATCAGCTGCGCCTGGGCTGCTGACTTGTCCGATTCGAGCTGGCTAAGTCGCGCCTGCCACTCCTTCTTTTTGTCGTCCGCGTCGCGCTTCCACTCGAGAGCAGCTTCGTCCCGCTTTGCCTGCTCCTCGCCCACTCGTTTATGGAGCTGGTCGGTTTGGTCTTGGCGTATGCTCTTTAGCTTGGCTTCAAACTGAGCAACGTCCTGGCGCCATTTGGCTTCCATCGAGTCTTTGTCTTGGGTGCGCGACGCGAGTTCAGCCTTGGTGCGATCCAGTTCGTGCTCCAAACGCTTGAGTTTGCCTTCCGCTGCATGCAATTCATACGTTGCGGACCGAAACTTCCCATCGAGTTCGTCGACGTGATGCACAGTCTCCGAGAGCTTGGTCTGTGCGGCTGCGACCGCGTCGGTTTGATGCTTCAAGCGCTTTTCCAGATCCGCCTTTTCGTCGTGCAATCGATCGCGCTGAGCCTCCACGTCTTCTTTGTCGTGGCTGGTCGTTCGAAGCTGGCGGTCTAGTTGCTGGTGCTGGCTCTTCAACTTGTCGAGCTTGTCCACTAGACTTTGCTTCTCCGCTACCCACAAAGTCGTGTGCCGATCGTAAGTTTCCTGTCCCTGCTTGTACTTGGTCTCAAATTCCTGCGCCCTCGCTTGAAGCTGCCTCACTTTGTCGTTGGCAGCCCGAGAGTCCGCTGTGAGTTGCTCGACTTGATGTCTCAAACTCTCGTGTTCGCCGCTGCTGGTCATCGCGGACGTGCTCGACAATCGCAGGGTGTTTTGTTCGTTGACGCGGTCGAGTTCATGCTGAAGGTTCAACAGGTCGTGCTCGACGCGTTGTTTTTGAAAGAGGGCGTCGTCTAGTTGCAATTGCAGGCCGCGGGCGTCCGCCTGGTGCTTGTCGCTCAAGTCGCGAGCTTGCTTGACGAGTCCTTCCAGGCTGCGGCATTCTTCCGACGCTTTCTCGTACTGCGCTTCTGCAGTTTGGAGCCCAAGCTTGGCTTTGCTCAGCGCAGTCTTCAGATCATTTGCTTCCGTCGTCAACGCTCGCCATTTCGTTTGGACGGCGTCGCATTCCTTTTCAACGCCTTTGAGTTTCTGAGCGAGTTGGTCCTTGTCGAGGTCGCTTTGCTTGGCTTTCTTGTCGGCGACCTCCTTGTCAAGCACGGTGCGATGGTGGGTATCAAGCAGCACGTCATGCTCTGCACGCAGCGTGTCCAACCGGGCCTCGACGTCGGCTTTCTCGCTTTCGAGGGCATTTCGCTGGCTCATGAGTTTGTCCTTTTCCCATTCCCACATGGACGTTGCCGTTTCTTGAGTCGTCGCCTGCTGCGCTTGGATTTGCGTCGTCAACATGGCCACTTCATTTTCCTTTTGCTTGAGTTTCCGCTCCAAGGTTGCACGTTGGTCGTCGAGCTTGCGCTTGGCTGACTCGACCGCGATCAAGTCACTCTTTAGATTTTGCAGCGCCGACGAGTGCGCTACTTGCAAATCGTCGAGTTGTTGCTTCCACTGCGCTTGGTGGGCTTCCAGCGCGCGTTTGTGCGCGCGGTCCATTGCGTCGTTCGAGTCGTGGCTCTCCTGAGCTTGGCGGTACGCTTGGTTTAGCTGTTCTTGCAGCGATGCAACTAGGGTGCTCGTGGACGACTCTTGGCTTTGCATGGAAGTCCACTTGGCTTGGAGGTCGGCGATGGTCGCCTTGGCTACCGCGAGCTGGCGTTGCCCATCGCTCTCGGCTTCGTGCAACTTCTTCTTCCACGTCTCGACACTAGCTGCGTGATCGCGTTCGAGTCCCTTGAGTTTTCTGTCGACGGCGTCCAGTTGGGCGCGGGACGCCGCTTCAGATTCTTCGTGTGACGACTGGAGATCGTTGTACTTGGCTTGCCATTGCTGCAGTTGGTCGTTGATGGCTTGATCTTTGTTTGTGGCATCCATGAGGTTTTCGTATTGGCTTTGCCACGACGCAGTGTCCGCTTTGGCTTGGCGCAACTCTTGCGCTGCGCGCTCCATGGCCGCCCTGTGAGAGGCTTTTGCATCTTCCAGTTGCGCGAGCAACGACACTTTCGCGGCAGAGAGGGACTCAATCGTGGCTTCCAACGCTCGCTTGGAGTCGGCCATGCTGGCAGTCGTAGCTCCATTGGCTTCGTTTTCTTTGCAAGCAGCGTCGTATTTCGTGGTCAAGTCGCGGAAAGCCATGTCCAGCTTGGTCGCATCCGTTTTCAAGTCGTCAATCGTGGACTTGGCCGCGGCGCATTCCGTTTGAAGCACGTCGTGCTTGACCGCAAGGGCTTCAAACTTTTCTTGCCATTCGTTTGTCCCGCTGTCATCTGTCTGCTTCGTCGCACGGGTTGGTTGCGCTGCTTCGCCAAGCTTTCGTTGCAACTGAGCGACTTCGGATACGTGTGCCGTTTCGGTCGCTTTCAACTTTCCTGCGATTTCATCGTGCTTGGTCTTCCACGTAGCAAGTTCTGCCGCCATTTTCGCGCGGTCCGCCTCCCACGACTTTTCGTTCTTGTCGGCGTTCTCGGCGCATTGCTTCGCATCCTGCAGCATCTTCTTCAAGGAGGTCACTTCCTCTTCCAGCGCTTCGACTTGTTTGTTTGTGGACGCGTTTGTTTGAGATGTTGCTGCAACAGGATCCTGACGTCTCGCTTCATCGAACGCATCATTTTCTTGACGCTTCATTTGCGCTTCCATGTCGGCGTCCTTTTGCTTGAGCTGCTCCTTCAGCTTCTCGACTTGGCGTTTCAATTCTTCAGTCGACGCTTCCAAGGCTGCGACGTGGTCGGGCGAATACGTTGGTGCCTTCGACGCTTCTTCCATCTTCTCTTCGAGGGTCTTGACCTGTCTTTTGTACTGCGCGGCTTCGGTCTTGACTATATCGAGCTCGGCGTTGAGTTTGTCGAGGCGGCTGGCCTCTTCTTTTTCGCGGTGCTCGGCCTGCATCTCTTCCTTTCGTCGGATCGCTTCGTGCCGCTGCAGCGCCTTTTCATGCGCGGCATCCATATCCTCGAGCGCCTCTTTGTGCTTTTCGTCCATGTCTTTCAGTTCCTTCTCTTGCTTGCGCGCGAGATCCCGCTTCTTTTCGTTGAACTTGGCCTCCGCGTTGTCCATGTACTCGCGATGTTCGGTTTCGAGGTCCTTCCGCCGCTTGGTCAGTTTCTTGTCCAGCTCTTTGACGTTCTCAACTTCGTCTGCGTGCTCCTTGTGAAGTTTCTGCAGCTTCTTCTCGATCGTGGCGGCCTCGTCGTCCAGTTCGGCTTGCTGCTGCTTGATCTCGGATTCTTTCGCGGCCAACTTGGCCTGCAGCGCCGCAACTTGGCTCGCATGCTCGTCCTCGAGCTTTCGCAGCTTGGCTGCCAACTCTTCTGTCTTGGACTCGACAGCTTCGTCATCGGATGTGTTCTTAGGAGTGTCTTTCTTCCCGAGTGGTTTTCTGGATGGTAGAGCTTTGATCGTCGGGGCGCTGGACTTGCCTTCGTCATCGTCATCGTCGTCGTCGTCGCTCTTGGCCTCGTGGGATTTCATCGAGGTCGGCCTCTACTCAGCCGCGTTGCTCAGTGCAGCTGCCGCCTCCATGTCCCAAACGACGTACCCCCAAAGCGCCAACTGGTTTCAACGCGCCGAGGCCGCCTGGCAATGGCATCTATCGACCACGTCAACCATTTCGTACGGCAAAAGGGTTGCCACCTTTCCAATCGCGCCAAGCGGCTTCTTCTCCATGCCCGACTTGACCGCGCCCAACGAGTCGCCCTTGGGGGCCTTTTTCGGCGCCTTCTTGGACTTTTTACCCAAGATTTCAGCGATGTCGTCCTTCTCCTTCTTCTTCTTGTCGTCCGTGTCTTGGAATTTCTTCCCCTGAATTGTCTTCTTCTTGTGATCGTCGTACAGTTTGCGGTAGTACTGGGGTCAATGCAGGATTAACATGCGGTCATGGATACAACATGTGCATACCTCGTCACAAGGATGGTCCCAAGTACTCGCCCCCGAGGCAAAGTTAAAGTAGTAGATTTCTCCCGTGTCAGTCGTCTTGCACGGCTTCCAGTTCTCCGGCAAAGGTGCTTTCAAGCCTTCTCGCGCAATCCAAAATAGATCCCGCTCGGCGTCGAGGTCCATCCCCAGCCACTTGGCGTACTCGATGACCTCATCTTCCGTCGGCTCATAATTTGGGTCGATCTCTTCTTCTAGTACGATGCTATCTCCCTGACCGCCATCCATTCTCTCGACCTCGGCGGTGGTTGCCGCCCCCTTTCTCGGGATGTCGTTTCGACAAAGATTGGGTTGTCCGGATAATTTGAAACCCTTTAAAATAGACATGAATTTCCGTTGCACCTAGGTGCATTTTTTGTGGAAATCTTGTTCGGATACCCTGCTGAAACGATACATTTCTCCAATGGCATGGACAGGTCGAAGGGAGATGCGCTCGATATGGGCGACTGCGATGCAGATATGTGCCCATGGAACTTGATAAATTGATTGGCACAAGGGCTTTCCATTCCTCGTGGGCTCTGGTAAGGGCTCATTGCATGCGATACTCTTGATGAGGAGACTTTTTACTTTTATTACATGTGTGGCTTGAACACAAATCCGTTGGTGGTGCGACCATCGGTGCCGGTTTTGGCCTCGCCGCGCACGTTCTTGCTGTCGACGGGTTTGTGCCCCGTGTACCCTGGTAGATTGTTGAGGTGGTACAGACGCAGGTCCTCTGACTTCCCCCGCACATGCTCGCAGTCGCCTTGGGCCACAGCCGTCGGGTTGTACTTTGTGTGCGGGATAAAACCTTGGTACCGTGGAATATGGAATGTCGCTTTGGACGTCCCGTCAAACATGTCGGCTGTTGTCGACGCCATGCCGTTCGTGCGGCCCACATACGGCCTTGCAAGTGGATTGCCTCCGTACGTTCCAAAGTCGATTTGGTGGCTGCTCGCCGGTGTGCCACCATGCAGGACGTGCTTGGCCGCCACAAACTCAAGCCACCCTGCTTGCCCACTGACTTTGACCGTCTGGTGCAGCAGCAAACCTGTACAGTTCTAGCAGTTAGACTAGCATTGGTCAAAGTGGAGGGAACATGGAGATACGACGCGTACTGGAGAGACGACAGACAGCCTCCTGGAAGATTTCCCACGAGATGAATCCGTCTGGACACGCGTCGAACATGTGCGCGTAAATGTCAAGGATGCGTGCCGTGGGGGGCTTGCCGTAGACTGCGCAGAGCACTGCCTTGACGTCGTCGCGAGCTATTTTCTTTTGTTTGGGATCGGCGTCCGATGTCGAGTCTTGATTTGGCACGTGGGTCAGCTCGTCGAACGCTGCAGCGTACGCAGCCATGGGCAACGCTGCAATCCGACGGCCCTCTTCGTGAAAGTTCAAAAAGTCATGTTGGTACAGCGTTTGCCCGAGAAACGTGCGGGAATTGGCAATCTCGGCTCCACGTGACACTGGCCGCGTCGGAGTCTCAAAGTCGTGTTTCGTGACTTGGCCATAATGGCCTCGGGTGACAGCCTCAAAGGATGGGTTCACAATTCGAATTGCCGTGTTGGTCGCTTGGTTTTGCACAATGTTGGACCCCATCTGGCTGAATTTGGTCGCCCGGGCATCGTACGTCTCGCCGGGCTTGAGCGTCGGGCACTCCTGCGCGCCCCACGACTTGAATCCCTTGTACCCCGACGACATCGCCTTCTCCGGTTCTACCGATGAAACTGGCGCAAGAACGGCAACACGTGGCTATTTTTATTCATGTGCGGCTCGTTTCCGTTTTCCACCACATAGGATCGTGGATATGGATGAAGACGGTCATTGGAGCTGCTTGGGGAGTGTCTGAAGGGCAGAAAAGGCCGTGCATGATTGTCGGAGGTTGGGAGCGCCACGCCTGCGCCTGCCACGGTCCATGAAACTTGTCCGCATGGCGTATCTTTGGATGAAAACACATGCGTTGAGCCATCAGCGCTCATGTCGTCGTCAGGTCTAGAATTCTCTGGCGGCTCCACTCAATACACTCTCAGCTAGCCACTGCCTAGTACCTGGCCCTGCATGCCGTGCTTGCCTCATCGCAGCTGGCAATGCAGTTTACCCAGCGTTACTTGCCTGAAAGGACAACTCAATCGGGGCGCGCTGCATACTAGAGGCCATCGCACCTCGCGGTGAAGACAGCAGCGATCATGGAACATGTCGTACATGCTTAAACACAGATTACAAGGCTTTAGTCGGTGTACTCGCACGTTTCGGGAAGAGTGCATCCCGATCGGCGGATCACGACTTGGGCGGCCCAGTGGCCGGCTTCAACACACTTTTGGATGGGCTTTTCACGTGCCAATTGGGAGATGAACCCACCGACAAAGGCGTCCCCGGCACCGTTCGTGTCGACAATTTCGCTTTGGTCCAACACAGGCACGTCGATGAGCTTGAGCTCGCCGTTGTGGACGAGGATGGTCGGCTTAGCACCTTGGGTGAACACGACGGTGCGGCAACGAGCGCCGGACGCCTTGGGCAATTGAGCCACACGGAGGGCCACATGAGCGAGGTCATCGCCCCAGTCGTGGGCCTTACCGAATTCCGTCGCTTCGGCTTCGTTCCCGAAGACAAAGTCGGCGTGGTGCATGGCGGCCATCAACGGATCTTTGAAGAATTGCGTGATGAAGGGCGCCGACAAGTTGAGGAGGAACACCTTGTTTGAGTACGATGCGTGCTCGGCCAGCTTCATGATGGCGTCCGGGCACACGGTCAAGTGAAAGCCCGCCGAGTAGAAGAACTTGGCCTTGGAGATGATGTCCTTGGAGCGGTCGTCTTCTAAATGGGCGAGTTCAAACTTGTTGGCGGCCGACAAGTTGGCGACGAGCGAGCGTTCGCCTTCCTTGTTCAAGCACACGGCGCACGTGCCGGTGGACACTTCGTCGTGTTCCATGTAGTGTACGTTCACGCCGTCCTTTTCGGCGCAGTCGCGCAGGACCTTTCCAAACGCGTCCTTGCCGACGCAGCCAAAGAACGACGTAGCCTTGGAGCTGTGGTTCTTGAGCATCCACTGAGCGACACGAATCGAGTTTTGGGTCGCACCGCCGGCAATGAATTCGGCTTGAAACTCCTTGGTGATTTCGTCGTACATGGGCAAGTGTTCGTCCTCGGCCAAGATCGCGTTGTCCATCTTGAGCTTGTACTTGGCCAAGAACTCGTCCGACACGGACGCGCTGATGTCGAGCAAGGGGTTGCCGAGGCCAACGATCGAGTGGTCGAGGATGCTGCTGCTCATGTTCGGAGGGCGCGGGAAGATTTGCGAGTGCGGTGGTGGCGAAGCTTTGGGACATGCTTCTCGTGTTTCAAAGCCACGACGGCATGCAGGCCACGACGACGCTGCAATTGATATCATGCTTTCTTATCTTGATATTTGTATAAAATCGGTATCGACCGGACCTTTTCGATGTCATGGGCGCGTTGCACCCAACGTGTTCCCAACTAAATTTAAACTTGGTGTTTGTATATGAATTTGTTTGCGCCACGTGTTGAACCAGTCATCCAGCCATCACCCGTTCTTTCTCGCGTTTTGATTGGTTCATCCAGTGGCATCCGTGGGGGTTTTGACGGACCAATCACAATGCACCCCCTCGTGTGCTTCCGCCGCACAACCGTCCGACGACGATTCCTCCGCGATGGCAACGCAGCGACCGAAGCGAAGCGAGGTCACCGAAATCAACCTTAACGACGACGAGGCAGAAGTCGCCCCATTGGCACCGAACGGAACGTCGTCTGCAACTGCGGCGTCCCGGCGTCCAAAGGGTAGCGCCCTCGGCGACATCGTGACCAAGTTCATGTGCGTCGTGTTCCTCGTTGTGGCATGTCTTGGCTTGCATGAAGTGCGCTTCTGGCACGTGTTGCTATATTCTTCGCACGCGAACCGACCGCTCGTGAACCTGGGCATCTTCTTCTCCACGGCAGTCGTCCTCCTTGGATCTTACTTGGAGTATTACCGAGCACTGTACCTTGGAGAGACCCTCGAATACAAGAAAGCTCAATCCACCACTCACGCCATTCTAGCGTCCATAGTGCTTGCTGGTATAAGGTAAGGCATCGTTTCGCCTCGTTCCATGACATCTAACTGTCATCTTCTAGCTTCTCGATCGGTCTGTGGCCCGTGTGGCACTGGATGACACTTCCAATCCTGTTCATGTGGTTTTGGGGCTTGATCGTGCCGCTCGTCGTGCTTCTTCCACCCACGGCTCAAAAGGTCGTGTTTGCCGGCATCTACCTCTACTTTATGCACTCGTACTTGTCGACATTTATGATGTAATTCCAAGTACTTCACTCTTCGTGCCACGAACGAAGTCTGCTGCATCCTTGTAAAACATCGACGGCGCGCTCTCTCAATGGCCTTCTTTGGCATGGCACCTTCATGGTTAGCTGCCTTGGCGAATGCAGAGGCCGCGTGACGCACGGGCTGCAACCTACTTGTCCTTCATGGTGTTCCCAAATGCGGAGACACCAAAGCGACCTTTCATCGTGGCTCCATCCAAATACATGTGAACGGGCGAGGCCAGTGCTGTGCCAACATTCGTGACGACAACGCACCAAGTGAAAGAAACCTGCCGAAGAATACGGGGGGGGTCGAGTGCGTTGTGGTGATCTCCATGTAAACGCAATCAACTCATCCCTTCGTACACTGTCCAGAGGAACGCAGGAATGGTGGGATTTAGCTGGAAACCATCGCGCCCCTGAGTGAGAAGGATGTCGTTCACCCACCAATATTAATGCGGTCGCCCGCGTCGATTGCCATTCGCCGCGTTGATCGCGCGCAGGGATTTAGGACGAATGCGGTTGCGGCATGGATAGCTTGAAGTGACAGGCGCCAAGAATGCCATCATGATACCAACAGTGTGTTCGTGCGTTCGACCGATGGTTCTCGTCCACAGTGCTTGAAATATAGGACTTGTGAGACTGGTTTGAACACGTCGCAAGCGGCTGCATGCATCGGGCGTGTGCATCCTTACAACGATTCGTAGCCCAAAGCACAAACCCACCGTGGGAATTCCTCGATAACTTTTCCGCCTATCGGGGTTTCCAAGCATGTTGTGGTGCTTCCGCGCTGTCACTAAAAAACCTCCGCTCACAACACACATCGGAGATGCCATCGGCGGACGGACCAGGCGAAGTCCATCACCACGACGTGGAGATTTCATGTATCGAGAGCGATGTCCACCGTGCCAGGTGACGAATCCACCTCTGTTGACGATGACGTAGCTGGAGCAGTGTCAGCGGAGCATTGGGATGACGATGGTGGCGTTGTGGTGCTCAATGAGTACGGGATTTCAGTCGTCGTTTTCGTCAGAGCCCGTCGACGGAAAGGCCACGAGTACCCTTACAAGGCCTCGTTCATCCTCAGTCGAGGCGCCATCAACTCGAGCCCTCCGAGCGTTTGCCCGTCCAAACGTCTTTCAACGCGCCCTTGTCATTCACGTGATAGCAAGCGTTCCAAGTGGTATTTCGGACCTCGGTCGCTGTACAAATGGAACCCTCCGTCCGACATGGTCCGGAGTCCATGCCATGTGCTGCGGACGCCATGTCCAGATCAAATTCGACGCGTAAGCTGCGTCGACTTGGTTTGCGACGTCGTGTCGCGGCGATATCCTGGCCATCCATTTTCCATGCATCGTTGGCGTCCCCTTGTGGTTCGACCAACAAATCGAGTTCTTTTACGGGGATGTGGAAGCGTTAGAGTTGGTGGGCATCAGCGCGGAATTGCTCGCGCCGTCGCGGCCGTCCCATTTCGGTTTGTAGTCGTGCCACCCATTGCACAGCATCAACCCCAACCTTTGTCTTGAACGATCGCAGTGGATTGCGATGGTTGGTAGGCTGCCAACTCCTGCAGAAACTTGCGTCGCGATGCGCGGTAGTCATTGGACGCGGCATTGTCCGCTCGATGCCTGCATACCCACGCGCCACAACATGGCCTGAACATCACCCTTTGCCATGCTGTTGCGGCCGCACGATCGAGGCAGCAAGGTGGGTGCGTCGTCAGAAAAGGTGTGGCATCATGGTCGACGATTCATTTCGTTTATACTGTAGACTTGCCGAAGTTTGAAGTAAACTTGTTTGGCACTGAAAACTTCTTCCTGCTAAAGTAGTACTCGATGCATGGCCCGAATGTAGCCGACGCGCACTTGATGGACTACATCCACGAGCGCGTAAACACTCTCTCCGCCCGACCGCGGTTGTCCCTCGTGCCCATCCGTCAAGCGGGGCCGGCAGGAGGTCTCCAACAAAATCGTCAAGATGTGTAGTCGCGCATGGCGACGGTCGCAAAACGACAATGGCGCCAGGCCTTGAACAGAATCCCATTCATACACGACAAATCGTCGGGGCGGCTGTGCTGGTCTTGGCAAGCGGAGCTTGGCAGCGTGCCCGCTCGCTGGCTGGACGTTGGACTCGAACCAGGTGAAAACGTGGTCGTACAATTCAAAATGCTTTCGCGGTGGCAGCGTACATCGTAATCCACTGCCACAACGTCCTCGACTTTGACGCTACGCCGACAAGTCGACGGTGCGCATGCATACCCGCCACGAGCTACACCACACGGCCCTGCACCAAACAAAACGTCCTACCATGTGAAAGGACACACGGCGCATAACGGCTCGCTGTTGACCCGAGTCGTTTTCGAACCACTTATGAATAGATATTGATGGGAAAGTGCTTTCTCGTTTGCAAGGTATGCAATCGGTGGGGCCATCGGCCGCGCTATTTGCCAGTGCCAAACCGGCATCGCGAGCCACCCACTCGTCGCACTTGTCTGCCTCGGCGTCGGTGTTTCATGGCCCCAGGCGAAGCTGGTGGTCGTCGATCCAAGCGATCCTGTCCTTTGCCACGGGCGTTGTGGTCCTTCAAACGTATGCGGCAGGCTGCTCGATGTCGCTGCAGTCGCTGTTGGGCACCCACTTTGGCATCGATGGCACCAAAACTGTCTACGCCCAGTACGAGAGCCCACTGATGCTTGCGATGGTCGAATCGATCAAGACCCGGCGAGAACGCGTCGTGGCTGACTTGCATCATGCTCTTCAAGGGTCCAGGTCCCCAATGCCAGTTGCCTACCTCGTGCCATCCACGTCGTCGGATGCCACCTTTGAGTTCTCGACGACAGTGTGCCCGTCGACCGGGACAATTCGTGAAATTCACGCCCCAGACGCAGTCCTGGCCTTTGTGGGACGCGTGCTCTTGGGGCTGGGCGACTCGAGTTTTCCCCGACATGACGCAGTCGTGCTCATCGATTGTCGCTTCGGCGCCATTTCTGACCAGGATTCGTCCACGTTCCGAGCTCATGTCGTCGACCGATCGCTGACGTACATCACAACGATGACGGCTGGTGCGCTTGTGCTCCAGCGCCCGCTCTTGCGTGAAACGACGGTCGCTCTGCCGGTGATTGTGGTAAACATCACGTTCGACTCGATAGAACCAGTGGATGCCGCGGTGAGACCCCCCCGACGATTTGCTCGGGCACTGAACTCGTCGTCCGATGTGCGATCGGTGGTTGCGATCAGGGCCCCCTTCGCCACGGACGCCCCCTTTGAACTCATGTTCATCGACGCAATCACCGACGAATCGCAGTTTGAAGCGCATATCTATCAACCTGACGGGTCGAGCGAGTCGGTGACGCTCATGGGAACGGACGGCGTCTACGTCGAAGCCGAGAACGTGTTTGGCTCCTATTACTCGTACTGCTTTGACCTGCCGTTGGATGCCGTCGAGAACCTCGCGTCATTGCAATTCCTCGGTGTCCCCAACTCGAAGAACGCGTACGCGTGGGGGTATGCCATCGTGACGGTGTATCTGTGTATTCAAGTGTCGTTTGTCCTCGTGAGCGCGGTAGTCGTCGCGTTTGGCAGCGCAGGGAAGGAGAGGAGCTGGGTCCTTGGCTTGGTGCATGGCATCCCCGACATCAGCCATCAGCTCCAGGCATTCTTGGGGGTGCATGCGTTGCTCAGCATCGGGAGCTGCGTCTTGGACCGCGGGTGGGGCCTCTACGAGTGGTGCGATGCGTCGTCCCAGCTGCGAACAAAGGCCAGCCGGACCATCAAGCCACTTCCGGCCCACGTGCAGTGCCTTCTCCAGAGTTGGGTCGTCGTCATCTGCCACGGGGCTGCGAAAGGCCTGCGCATCAACTTCAGCTTGACACTGGTCATCGTCGTGACTGCGCTGTTCCATGCACACATGGCGTATTTCAAGGGCGGGTGGGGCCTCTACGTCGACGTGAGTGCGTACGTCCAAGTCATGGCGAACATGGACAGCTTGATCCCTTCGCATCCTGGCCACATGGACGTGTGGTTGTATCACACACTCGACGGCATGGACATTCGGTACGTTCTAAACGAGACAAGTGCCTACATTTGGGCGACGTGCGTGCTGCTGGCGTGTGAGGTTGCCGTGTTTGTCGGCCAGCGATTCGTGTGCCGACAGCGACCGCGTGTGGTGCCCGACAGCGCCGACGCCATGTTTCTCTTGGAAGAACGGCTGGGAAGTGTCGATGTTTGTGGAGTGGGGTCGGAGGTGGTGAAGCGCGTTCGTTCCACGACCAACGAGTTGTACGTCACGGTCGAATGGGCATGGTACCTCGGCTACGTCGTCGTGGACCATTCGTACTTGTTCAAGCTGCACGACGTCCCCAAGCTGTGTATCAACGTCCTGTTCAACGTCGAGTCGTTTTACGTGTACGGGTATCACGTGAGCGGCAACCAAGTCACCGCCAACCTCTCCCATTTTCACGCGGAGGATTTTCCCAGTGTCTGCAGCCTCTGTCGCCTATCGCTACGGCCGTTGCGACAAGATTGGCCCATGAACGAGACCAAGCGCCATCTGCGCCTCTACGACGAAGCGGATCGGCGACTCAAAGCGCCCAAGTAGCTGTCTCCGCTCGCTCCAACGGCCGCACGCATGCGCATGGACCAATTCGGTGATGCTGCCGCTGGCAATTCTGTCGTTCGTACAAGTCGCACTTCAAAGGACACATCGAGGCGCACTTAATGGACAAATTCTTCATTCGGTCGCATGAGCATGGCGAGAGCAGCATCCGAGCAACGGTTTATGCAATGGCTCGTGGAACATGGCGCGAAAGTCGACGCGCTAAGGATATCGAGCGATGTGTCTGGAAGCCGTGGGGTAGTCGCCACGAGAGAGATTGCCGAGAATGAAGTGAGCATCGTGATTCCGTCGTCGTTGTTTATATCGGAGGTAACAGCCAAGGCCGACCCGACTCTCGGGCCAATCTTTGCGGCGAACATGGACCTTTTCACACGGGATGACCCTCTGCTCAGTACGTTCCTTACGTACCACATCTATCTCCAAGATGCGTCCTTCTTCCATCCGTACTTGGCTATCCTTCCACCCCCCGAGTCCATCTTGAACTGGTCCAGCGACGACTTGGCCGAGTTGCAACATCCGTACGATGCGCAAATGCACGACGTCTTCGTTGATGGCATGTCACGTAGGCAGCTCGTGGACGTGGCTACACGGCGAAACCACGAGATCCACAGCTGGTACGACCGGATCACGGCACGGCTGTTTCGCCTGCACTCAGTCAGTCGACGTGAATCGATCCATGCTTGCCCCGCTCTCATCGTTGTCGTAGAGCGTCTTCGATGAGCTTTCCTTTCCATATAACACATTCCGCTTTGCGTGGCAGACTGTGCAAGCTCGAACGTTTGGTGCGTTGTCCATCCATCCATTCGTGTTGATGGAGGGTGGTGTGTACGCAGGCAGACGCCTTCCCTGGACATCGCTTGTCCCATTTGCCGATTGCCTCAATCATGCCAACGTGGCGACGCGGTACGACTTTGACGTCGACGGGAATGGGTGTTTTCGGTGGCACTCGAGCCAGCGCCACGCCCCTCGTCAGCAAGTGTTCAACTCGTACGGCCGCCGTCCCAACCGTGCGTTCTCAGCCATGCATGTTGCGAACGACTTTGTGCCGTCCAACCTCCTCCGTAGAAACGCTCCTGCTGGACTATGGATTTGCCCTGCCACGAAACGAATGGGACTTTGTCGACTTTGACATAGACGCGATCGAGTTTTCGCTGCCAAAGCCCGAGCGACGACGGCTCTTCCTTGCCGCCCACCTCATGCCGTTCCCATCGCGCCTTCGCTTCTCGCCCGACACAACGTTGAACGAAGTGCTTCCGTACTACCGATGTGCGTCGCTGGTCGCCGCCTCGACCGACACGTCCATCTTAGAACCGCAACACCCCGTCGTCGAGATGAGAGCTCTGATGCGGCTACGAGACCAGCTTCAGCATCACTTGGCAGCGCTTCCCACAACCATCGACCAAGACAGTGCCATGCTCGACGCGAACGACATGACAGATACCCACCGAACGGCGGTGGTGTACCGGTGGCATCGAAAATTCATTCTGCACAGGGTTCTCGAGATGACGACGGAGCAGCTGAAGACTTTCAACAGGCCAGAGGACGACGCGGTGGCAAGATAAAGATGTCGACGTCGCTTAGCACGTGGAGCAGAACGACGCCTTGATCACGCTGAGCAGTTCGTCGCGGGTCGTGGGCTCTGTAAATCCGAAAAATCGTTTTTCTGCCAAACCAACCCGTGAGAGATCGGACAGCGTGCGAATCGAACCTTGATACGATTCGCCAGTGTTGCCCAGCACGTAAAAGATAAACGGTGGATCGTCGGGTTTGCGAGCCATGAGGTCTGGGATGGCTTTAATGTCGTCCATGGAGTCGATCTACTTTCCGACGCGTCATGAGATGACCACACTGGGAAGAGATCTTTTTCGTACGATGAGTTGGCCAAGAGGAGGCGCGCACGCCTCGACATCGTCCATCGACTTCCAAAAGACAAAGCGCGACCGACGAAATGCCACACACAGGGGCTACATCATCATGCACCAGAGAAGGTGGTCAGAGCCGTTCAACCGACCGTGACACGATGATCGATGACAGGGTTGACATCGCCTACGGCGGAGAAAAGTCGAGTACCTTCCACGAGCGGTCATTCTCCATTTTGACTAGAACCGAGCCGAGCCAGAGCGCTTGCAGCTTGAGCCGACGACAGGCCGCGGCATCGACAAGCTCGGCGCTCGTTCGTCTTGCTACGTACGCCCGTCGCTGTTCGTCGTATGCCTGCACACCGCCCGATCCAGAAGCCATAAAAGGTCCATGAATGGGATTCCCGGCCGTCCTCATCGCACATGAATGTCGACTGTACCTGGATCAAGTCGGTGTCGGTGGGTAAAGAAGAAATAAAGTTCCACAGGATGTTGCGCGCAGTGTTACTCGGTGGCCGGTCTTCGCGCAGCCCCGCCGCAAACTACGCCACATTCGCCCATGCATACGTTGTCAGGTCCAATGCGACGTGGCACGTTCATGCAACGCACTTCGAGGAGTCCACCGACCAAGATGAGGTACCGAGCCGGGACGAACGAAAACAGAAGCGATCCACCGACGCACACACCAAACACGAGCGCCGTTTTCCACGGATGGGTCCAATTGAACAAATTTTGTGTGCACACGACGGTGGCGCACAGCCGACCGATGGCATTTTGGACCGTCGTTGTCGTATCTTTGGCTTTCCACAGCGCACCAAACAACGTGGTGCTGAGGGTTGTCTTGGCGTCTTTTTCAGCCAGCGCGTCCTGGACAAATTTGGACCACCGCTTCTCCGCCGGCCCGGCGCCAACTCTGGACGCAGACGACGATGGATTTCGTGGGGGGAGTTGCATTTTCAATCGCACCTGAGGAGCCCATCGCTGAATACACATGATCTCTCGGACATGACGTCGGGATTACCGTCAACGACGCTCGTGGCTCTTCATCGCCGGCAGTGGATACCTTGCTGTTCAGCACCAGCGGCAACGTCAGTGTCTCTTCATCCGAATCGACAAGTCGCACGAGCGGAATCGGAGCTGTCGATGCGAGCACAATTTCCCCGGTCACGGCATGGCCAGGACTGGTTTCGGCCACTTGGACCAGATCACACCGCAGCAGCCCTGGAAACGCTGTCCATGGGACGAGCAGTTCCCGGCCATTGTCGAAGCGCTTGGCAGCTTGCACCAACGGATACACGAGCGTATGGTAGTCCGTCACTGGGGCTCCGTTCGTCGTGTGGGTGGGCCATGACACGTGGGCATTTCGAAACACGTGCTCCTTCTTGGGTGGCGTGTTGGGGCGGAAGAGTCCAGGAGGAGTCAAATGAGACACCACGTTCGACCCATCCCTCCATGTCGGATGCGGTGTCTGGCGAACAGCATGCGTTCGTCCAATGACGAATTCGTCGCCTCCAGAGTAGACCAGTCCTGCCAGCATGTGGCATTGACGCCGTTAGTCTACCAAGCAACGGAACGCGGCATGGCGATAAACACACAACGTACCCGAGTCGTTGACGTCCATGTCGTTTGGAAGGTAGTTGGCTCGGACAAACACGTAGTGTGCGGTGGACGAAGGCGCCATTTCCTTTGGCGGATACGAGGCTTCGAGAACAGCGACAAAGAGAGACGCGACCGGCCGGAACAGTCGAGACGACTCCATCACATCTTCGTCGAATGCGACCCACTTCAACAAGTACGCGCCAGTCAAGCGTTGCCACAGCGTGTAAAGCATGTACGCAATCGCGACCAGAAAGAAGCTGGCTGGGAGGTACTCGGCATTCAAGAACAAGCATGCTGCCGTGAACCAGGCCAGGATCACGCCCGACTGGACGGGGTGCTTCCACGTGATGATGGCCACGTACTGTTGTTCGAGCCAAGGCACGAGGGCCAGGACACGGGCGAGGCGATCGATGTTGGTCTTGAGTGTTTCGACCGAAAAGTCCTTTTCTTCGCGGCCTTGCAGCACCATGCGCTGTTTGGGGACGTACAACAGCAGCTTTTGCTTTTCCTCGGCGTAGTGCAGCGACACATGCACGTGGCCGACGACTTGCGACTTGAGCTTGAGCGGAAACGTCGTCTTGGCGCGATTGAATAATGTCGAGCCATGCAGCGACGTGTGGACGAAACGCGGCGTGGGAAGTGACTGCATGACCTCGTCAGCGTCCATTTGGAGCAATTCAAATAGCAGCACCGACATTGACCCGACAGGGACGTTGGTCGTCAAATCCACAACCTACGAGCGGCGAGCACACATGCACCATCAGGACGACGATTGCTGGAACCCAAACGACTCGGCGGCGTGTAAACTCGAGGATGGTTGTTACGTACTTCCAAGAGCAGGGTCGTGTCGCGATGGGTAATGTCAAAGCACGATTTATCGTCGTAGACTGGATCGGCACTCTTGTACACTTCTTTGGATTCGTGGCGAACGCCATCGACGCTGAGCCGACAGTACGTGTCCCCGTCAAAGATGTTGGACGCATGGAGGTTCTCGGCGGCGTTGCAATGTTTCGAGCACATGTGAGCTCCTTGCACGTTGACGTAGAGTTTGCCGAAGCTCGGGAGCGGGTTGGCCGACAGAGGGGGCTGCACCAAAAGGTACCCACTCGAGCCGTCTTTCGGCGACACAACGTATCGATCTCTGTTGTTGCGTCTGGTCAGAAAATGTGGCGGGATGGCTCGCGCACCTTTTCAAGACCGACCGATCGTCGATGCCGTCGTCGTTGTCGTTGTTTGAGCCGGACGAGTCTTGGTCTTGACGCGGGCATGGCAGGTTTGTGTTGGCAAGCATCATGCATCCCTTGTGGACGTCGATGCCGCATCCCTCGCATCGATAGCCCCACTGTGTCTTGATCGTGCTCATGATCACTCGCTCGCACACGCCACACGACAAAATGCAGACCCCAACAGACTTGAGCGAGTGGACGCGGAACTTGTGGTCGCGAACGACAACTTCGGCCGGATCGGACGATACGAGCCGATGCAATCGGGTTTGGGGGTCAAACTGCATCGTAAAGTAGATGCGTGCTCGCTGGCTCAACGACGACGTCGAGTTGGACGGTGACACAAGCGTGAACCATCGCGAGATGGAAATGCCCGGGTGCTGCAACAGCGGTGCCGTAGTCACGAGGGAGCTGGCGAGCAGGTCATGCGCGAACATGTAGTTTTCGTTCCAAACTTGGACTTCCAACGTTGGCACAGGGTTGTTGGAGCTGTTGCACCGGTGCTGCAGGCGCATTTCGTTGGCGTGTGCATCCAACCAGACCGGGTTCTTTCCCCCGCTCATGGCAGCTTTGGTTTGCACTGGTTCGTTCCACCTGAGGACGGGTCAAGAGGCAACGAAAGCGGTAGAGATTTACGTACGGCAAGAGTGCTAGCCGCACGTATGGGTCTTGGCGACCGACCCAACGCACGCTGGGCAGGTCCACGGCTTTGTCGGCTACGATCTTGAAGACCCCCGACTGGTTTGGTTGGACGGACCGACGGTAGTTGAGGTAGTCGTCGCGGCTTTGGATCGACGGGTGTTTTTCAACGAAAGAGGCGGCAAACGCCAGGCACGATTGGTCGCACACGATACCACTCGGTCGAAACTCAAACAGCGCCGACGCGCTTTCATCTGCGAGAATACAATGAGTTTGTCGTGATGGTGATATGTACCAGTCCAGAGTCCGTCGCAGAGGTCGCACTTCGCAGTATCCGTAGAAGAAGTTGTCCCCATGGCAACAATCTCGTTGCGCTCAAGCATGCCAGCAATGTCGTTGTTTCGCTGAAGTTTGTGCGCGACGTCAGCGTCGCTAGACCGGCTGCGACTCCGGCTCCGACCATGGGATCTCTTCTCAGGTGGCCGCTGTTCCTTCGCTGGACATCCACGACGATGTCATCAGACAGATTTGCGCCATACTCTACTGCCTTACCTGAAGACTCCACATTCAAGCCCACAGACAAGCGCTTCCTCAGCTCCATGCTCCAGCTTTTCTATCACAAGGATCGAAGTGTGTCTCGATGCAGAGTGATGGTGGTATCGCGGCAACTGTGCAAATACAGAAATCACCAAATCCAAATTCCTCGAAAATTGTCACAATGATTGGACGAAATTTTGAAGAATGAATACATTTTCGCAAATTGACACATTTCTTTGTAATTGTCGTCGCGTGGCACATTTGACAAATACTCCAACGACTGTGCCGCGACCATCGATGGAAGTGAGGTGTCTGTGTGGGGCCTCCCTCACAGAGCGCGATGCAGCCTTTGCCGTAAGCAGTGACAGCCGCGTGCGCGTGTACACGTCCAATGGACTAGTTCTCTTGCACGAGTTCTCGTCGATCCACGAGCGAGTACTCCAGATGCATCACACGACTTTCTGCGACGCAATAGTGACACTCGAGACCAAGGTCGGCGACGATGACATGGGGGATTGCTACTTGTGTGTGTACCACGATTGGCGGGATACGTCGTCGCGGACCCCTTATGGTGCTTCATCACCGCCACTTGCGACAGCGCAAACGCGATCGAGCTTTGTCCGTGCATATACCTTGCCGTTGGCCATATCCGATCCGGACGCGATATGCATGTCCGTATGCAGCTACTCCGGTCGCGTTGCGGTGGGTACGCCGGATGGATTTGGCGTTAACATTTGGCAGACCAGCGATGGCTTCTTCGAGCACGTGATGGAGGTCAAAGTGAACGACCCTGGTCTCGCCTTTGTCGCCGTGCATGGCGCCCATCTGGCCGTCGCGACCGCGACAGAAGTTCGCGTCATGGAGATCCAGGTCATCACGGACGACACTTTGCCATCGTCGACTTTATCTTCCTCGTCGAAGTGCGTGCAGTCGTCAGAAGGATTGCCCAAGCTCTCGACGTCGTTGCCGCACGAACGGAAGAAGGAGCTCATCTACAACACATTGGAAAAAGACCGCATTCCGCTGATCCAAATCCCTGGGCTCAGCGGTGGCTCTTTGAATGCTGCGTCCAACCAAGGCATGTGCGGCAGCCACATCCGCATCGTAGGCAAGGACGACGCCCAACTTGAAGCGTTCAATTTGGCGGGTCTCGTCCAAGCGACGGACGTTCGCGTGAATGCCGCTTTGGCGTACGTCAACCGCTTGGTGTACCGCCGATAACATTATGACGTGTGTAGGTACCTGCGCTGCCATGTCCACGTCCTCCTTCAGCGCTTCGTGCCGCCCAACCATTCGATTTCAGGGCTGCACTTCGTCCCTGAAACAATAGACCACCGTGCGCAGTCCCGCAGCTACACTCGTCTGCTCGTCACGACCCACGCGTCGGACGCGATTCTGTATTACTTTCTCGCGGACCACATTGACTCGACTCGCGACGCGATGACGAGAAAGGTATCCAAGTCGCCGCGGCGTTGCCACCATTGATTTTGCAAAGTAGATTCTGCAGCGGGACGCCAACCCGGTGCGCGGTGTCGTCGAGCCGATCGAAATCACGGATCGCCCGGCGGCATTTGCGTCGACGCGATCCGATTCCAGACGCAACAGTGTCGTGGAATCGAAGCGAGTGGTCATGTACTACAAGCTCCACGCGCCGGCGACGTCGGTCACTGCCAACAGTTCGTTCCTGTTTGCTGCGACTGCGGCTGGCGTTGAAGTCTGGTCGCTGTGGAGTCCTTGCCATCACGTTGCTGCCAAGAAAGCGCTCGACGCAACATTCGTTCCCGAGCCCACGCAGCCCCAATTCTTGGGGGTGCACCCGCTGTCCGCGCCAGCGGCAAACATCGTGGCATTGGACGGCTATGTCGTCGTCCTGACTCGCGACGCAGCGAGCCGTCAATTGATGCACAGTGCGTGTGTTGCCCAGTCCAAGTCTCACGAGGAACCGTTCGAGTTGAGGGAGGTGTCACGGCCACCAACGACTCCGTCAGGGGGCACCGTGCTAGTGTATCGTCAGAGTCCACCGTCCCGGATGTTTCAGCAGCTCAAAGTACGTCCTTGATTCACCACGCGGTGGTCGTTGGAGTGAGTGTGGTTGTAGGCCAACACAAGTGGCGACAAGGTTGCCACGTCCGCGCAACTGGACCTCCTCTTGAGTTTGTTTTCGCTGTATCGATTCCGAGCAGACGTGGGGCTGGATGCCCTTCAAAGCGCGACGCTGGCATCCCCGATGCGCCATCTTTCCCCCAAAGACAACGTGGCGATTCAACTCGAAGTCAAGCTGTACGACTCGCTCGCGCGGAATTGTGCGGCCCACATCGCCCATTTGTACACAACCCCTGCATTCCGTGACTTGAATCGCGCCGCGTTGTTGTATGTCGCGTCCAATATTAGCGCGCGGGATGTGCTGTTGCGGTTTCGGTCGCTAGACGATCCAAAACATGGGATCCAGCCCGACGTGATCGATGCCACGGCCGTATACTTGGAAGGTTTTTTGTTTCCAACCAAAGACCCTGCCATGTACCTGTCGCCCCCCGTCGCCGCGTCCATCGGGTCCGCCCAAGGAAACATCGACTACGAATTCACGGGGGTGGTGCTCCGCCACTATGGGGACCACGCGCCCGAGCAGCTCTCTCGTCTCGCCATCGATTCGTCCCTTCCATGGACGCTGCTCGACATCGATTATTGTTTAGCCAAGCTCCAGTTTGCGGCGAGCGTGCTAATCCGAACGGGCGTGCTGGTATTGCTCGTGCGGGCCCACAACATGCCAGACCAATTGTCAACGTTCTTGACCGCCAAGGAAGCAGTCGCGGCAACGTCGCCGACGGCCACGAGCGCCCAAGATTATAGCTTTGCTTCCATCGCAACAAGGATTGAATGGCTTGCAGAAAACTACCCCGATCCACTTATTCATTTGTGTGTCACTCACCCGGAGTTTCTCGTCGTCCAACAAGCCGACAACAGCACCGACAAGACGCCGTCGAGCTCGGTGAGCCATGCCCCCCGGTTGCAGCGATCGGTGCTTGCCACGGGACTCCTGGAAAAAGCACCCGTCAAGTGCTTGAACGCTCTTGAACTCATCTTTCACAGTGCCCTTGGCCATCAAAATAGCGTTGGTGCCACCGTTGCGTTTTGTTTGGGCGTCCTGGGCGACTACGGCGCCGCGGTCGGACAACGCGTGCAAGCTCAGCGTTTCCTTGACACGAACGACGTGGTGTCCAGTGGGTTGTTTGACACAACGGAAGTGTACGTGCTTTGCGCCGTGCACTTTATCGTGCTGCACTTGCTGAAACATGCCACTCCCGACGGCACAACGCTACTGCCGTATTTGAGCCTCGAGTTTGTCCACTTGTGTGTCCGATTGAGCTTGTCGCCGTCCATAAACTGCAAAGCAATGCTGTCCCATGCCCTCGCGTCCAAGTCGACGCTTGTACCCAAGAAGCTCACGTCGTTGCCGCCGTTCGTAGTACCGTTTTTGACCGCCATGCTGGGCTCGCCCAAAGCCTCCCACGTCAACCAAACGCTCCATCAGCTGTACTTGCTGGCGTCCCATATCGTAGCCACGTCGAGCAACGCGGAAGCGACCGTTGTTGCCATCTCTTCCAACGGCGATGCCGAGGAAAACCACACGCTGGGCACTCTCTTGAAGTTGTTATTACTACCTCGTCGTGACAAGTACAGCACATCCATGCCCAACCATTCGTCATGTTTGGCCCTATTCCCATGTAGATTTCACGACGGCCTGATCATCTTGAAAGCGTCTCCAACGTATCACGCGTACCTGCTGTCGTATGCGATCGCCAACAGCACGTCCCTCACCGACTGGAAAGCCTTTTTGAACGTTGTGCTTACCATCCACACTGCAGAGCCAAAACGGAGCGACGTACGGCTCACTCGCCTTTCGATTTCATGCCAGTTTTGCTCACCCGTGTTGCTGCCATGCGGTGTAGGGGGGCCATTTGCAAGCGGCGCTGGATCACATGGCGGCAACGTTGTCGCCGCAGGACTTGCTCGCAATTCTGCCCGACGACGCGGACGCGGGGCTCTTCCTCGACGCGCTGGCCCGCGCTGTGCGGCTGCACGACAGCGATCCCATCGCTGACTGATCGACACAAAGACCTGTATAAGTCCATGCGGCCACAGGACGGACTGTGTGGAAGTTGCTTCACGACGGGTGCTTCGATAGATAGAGTGTATGGAATTACTTTACTTGGTCGACTCTTCCACCAAAGTCGCGACACAAAAGACCATGTACAGGGCCATGAGGAAGAGGCCGAACCACTTGGTGAGGTGCGCAGTAGGGACTTGCCACCCAACGGCGAGGAGGGACACCAGGCACACGACGAGGATGCAGAACCCACTACGCAACGTGCTCTTCTCCGCGACGGACCACAGCGGCACCGTCGATTCCTTCGAGTGGAAGCAACCGAGCAGCAAACTGAGTCCACCGCCGACGAGTGTGTTGAATATCGGACCCGCGATGCACGCCGCGGTTGCCATTTGGAATTGACCTTGTCGCGCCAGCGTCGCGTTCCCGATAAAATCGCCCATCGAATTGCCCCATGCCAGGACCAAAATGCCGAGCGTGCCGCCCGAGATACTCAAGGTCACACCCAAGACGTGCAGAATTGCGACGATCTCATGGCCGACAAGGAAGATCCACATCGATGAAGTCATCAGGGCGACGGCGGACAGGGCGAAATGTATTCTGGACGACCTTCGTGTCTCGGCCGACAGAAAGAGCGCCGCCACTGCCACAACCAACCCCACGGTCGCTGCCACCACGACAAGTTCGTGGGATATCGGAAGGATGCGTGATGCCACGTACATGACAAAGAGTGGAGTGCAAAACGACCAGCACATCAAGTCCACTCGGCGAAGCGATGTGGGGTGGCCATCCGTCGTTGCCGGGTTCAACATGGGCACCGTGACATGGCGAACCCACGACACGGGCAACAGCACGACGGCCACGCACTTGCCCATCAACGGCATCGCAGACTCGCAGGCGTCAATTCGTTGAATGTGGATGCAGCGTCGTCGCGGAGGAGCTTCGTTCGTCCCCTCGACGTCGCCTTGAGATGCTGCTGAGATGGCCAACGACGGCGCGGTTGACGTTGTGGAACATGGTGAGTCGAGTGGTACTTCGACATACGTCGGTGGACATGGCTTGCCATGGCCAGGTTGCGTCGAACTCACTGGCTCACCGTGCTCCAACATAGCTGCCTCGTTGTCAGACGCTTGGAAAGAAGGCGTGCGTAGTTTGGCTTCACTGGTCGTCTTTTCAGGGGAACCCCCATCGATGGCAGTCCTTTCGATAGCGTGCTCCATGCGTACGACAGAAACAGAGTACAACACGTACAGCACCAATGCCATTAGAGACGCTTGGACCGTGGCGTAGCCGATGCGGTACACGACCACAAGGCCCGCCAGCGCTGCCAGATAAAACACGACGTCTCTCATGAACGGTCGCTTGTTGATGGGCACACCGTTGGAGAGGTAGACGAGGTACCCGAGGGTAAAGCACGATACAACGAGACCGCTGCCGAGGAGCCCACCAACGCCAAAACCAGCGTGCTTACTACGTCCTGAAAACGACGCAATGGCGGAAATGAGGTCAGGCATGCCGTTCGCAAACGCTAGCAACGTTGCGCCGGCGACGCTTGGGTCCATCTTCGAGGCCGACGCAATGTACGTGACGGCAGGAACAAGGAATCGACTTGTCGTGTCTGCGGCGATGTAGAACAAGAGGCATAGCACGACGCACAGCAGTGACACAGACGCCTGTGGATACGATTCCATGTTGCAATAGTGGAAGGCCAGCGCGTCGAGAGTCGAGTCGCGAGTCGCATTGGCGCACGCACAGCGGTGATGGACCGGGACTTTGGCAAATTGAGATCTAGCACACCCGTCGGGAAAGTTGAATGCAGCATGAGCCATGGTGACGGAGCCCACGACGGCGAGAACGACCAGCGTCCGCGGCTGTTGCATTACGTTCGCGCGACTACTACCAGTGACGACCTCTTGATCGAGATAGCAGGCGAAGCTCGGCCAATCACATGCTGCAATACTGCATCATTCCAATTTAATTGGCTAAAATAGTTTTTGAAATCCATTCCGCTTCTACTGCAATTCGAAGAACACCCGACAGACAGACAGACAGGACCGCATCGTTTTTACACTAGAATTTCAATTGCTTTTCCTGAACTGATTTTTTAGACGGTTATGTTCTCGTTATTTTCTGGTGAAAATGTCGAGTGAAAATATCGCATATCCACACGGAAAATTATATGCAGCAAATTTTCCTGTGCAAAATTCACACAGTAAAAAAAATCCGCACAGACCAGCTTCATGTGGACCTTGAATGAGTCAGAAATGGCTTAGGAATGTCGTGCTCTTCGGACTTGAATTTGAATTTACAATCTTGTTCACTCTGCCCCGCGAAATTGCAGCGGGCAATAGACATTGCTTTGGAATCGCCATCCAAATCTTTTGCCAGCGTTGCAGCCAGCATCGAAGCTGCTAGGTTGTCGTGCATCGAATATATTTGTGAACTGGCCAAGTCCATTTTCCCGTCGCAAGAAGACATTGCAATTACTAGATACCCCTGTGGCAGTAATATGCAAATACCCGCCGACATTTTGTGATGGCAGAATCTATCAATTTTCACATCAAAATTTAACGAATTCTTCGAAACAACACTTGTTCAAGCGTCACTGAGGTTAAAACAATTAAATTTGTCCCTCCTTCTTAAACACCAGGCTGAAAAAGCCACACCACGAGCGCTGTTGCCGTCCCGAGAGCTCAGATTGAATTGAAGATAGCTGGTTGTAGCCATTGGAATTCCGCATTGTAGTTGTGTCCTCTTGTCTGTATTCCTTCGCTCGGAAGTTGGAGCGCAGCTCTCGTCGGACTGGCAATGCGACGATTGTAGCAACTGGCTGGCATTGCTCGAGTAGCAATGGAATGACGCAAGTTCTCTCGTTTGGCGGTGGCGGGGTGCAGCCGCTTGGCTTTCGCAGCGTTCGCCGTCACCAAGGTTTCTCGTCGAGTCCGGATAGCTGACTTCATGATTCCTTTATCCGGAAACCATCGAGTGTGAAAAGGAAAGCAACAGACTGACACGGTCATGGCGCCAACGAAAACCGCGATCGTCCAGGCGAAAATTCGTCATGAGCTCCGGCACTTGCATGAGAATCACGAAGTCCCTGAAGACATTCAGCGCATGGCGGCGATGATTTTGGACCTGATGCACAAACTCGCCCACAACACGATTGCGGTCGCGGACGTCGTCGACGCCGAACATCGCATGGAGTCGTTCCTCACGGCAAATTCAAAGTCAAAACACATTGCTGTGTTTGAATCCGCCATGCTCGAGATGACCCGCGCGGTGGTGGTGACAGCGCTGCAGGAGTCGCTGCATGCACTCTTGTCGTTTGGGGCGTTTGTACCGGCGGCGTTGAGGTTCTGGAAGCGACAGCTCAAGAATCCCCTCGAGTTGTTCCTCCTCACGTTGCCAGATAAGGTGTTCGTCCTGCCGTACGTGCCTAGTGCCGTTTCCTCCTGCCTCATGAAGACCACAGGGGCGGCGACATCTCGACAGACGAAAAGATCCGCGTCTTGGACGAAACCTACGAAACCTTGCTTGTACGCCGACCAGCTACTTCTCCAGAATTTTGCGCCCATTTCATGCCATTTTAAACAGGTCCATATTGGTGAATTGAAGCTCCAATTGCTCAAGTGGCCGCACACAGAGTCCAAGCGAAACCAGGACATGATGCAGGCGTCGCAAGCGCTCCTATTAAAGGTCTTTTCGACCGAACACTTGATTCGGTAGGATCATCCATCGTTCCTATTTTCCATCGGAATGACCCTTACTTGATGTGTAAAGTCCCAACGCTGTGACTGCCAACGTTTTGGAGAATGCTTCACCCACCCCGGCATCGGTCTCCTCCGGTAGGCCTCGTCGTTGCCTTTTGCTTTCTGGGCTTCGTGTCGATGTCATGAGCTTTGCCATTAAATCGGTGCCCGTTGCTACTTCAGGTCGCGCCCGGTTCTCCGTCAAGGTAATTCTGGACTTCGTTGAAGGGCTACCAAATCTCCGCACGGCCTACAAGGTGCGAGACTCTAGCGTTTGATGGTATTTACATCGCCATGTCTTTCTCAATCAGGTGGAATTGGACCATGTTCTATCAGGTTGCACGATCCCACCTTTCCTCCGGCGTCGGTACGCTTACCATCCATCTTACCGCTCTCTTCCAGGAGCTAATGCACTCATTTGGGCGAACGTAGTTGGTGGCACGTGTCGGTTGGCGCCGTCGGTGCATCGCTTGGCCTGGTCTACCTCGTGCGCAATCGGCATGAGCTGGGCCAACTCGCCCACACCATGCACAAAGGAATTCGCGACTTTGTTGTGGACCACATGGTCGTGCCCATCAAGTCCGTGACCAAAGCGAACGCTGTCATGCTCTGATGCTCAATATTGTCTGTGATTGTTAGCAACATCGTTGGCGAGATTCTGCTGAGCAAGAAGGCTCTGATCCAAGACCCTCTGGCCCTAAAGGATTCGAAGGAGAGCCTCCAACGCATGCTCGCAGACTTCATTCACGATACGAACCCGTCCATGCCGTTGGCGCAGCAACAGGCCATGGTACGCTGCCAAGGTGCACGGCATCTATTCATGGTTGAGGGAGTTTAGGTGGCCAACATGGACATGTCGGTCGTGTCGCTGCAGTACGAGAAGGAGTTGCCCAAGGCTGTGCGCAACCTCGTGACTGGAGACATCGTGCGCATGATGCTGATTCAGGTGGGACGCCCATGTCCACACATTTTTTATTGCGCCGGAGGTGATCTTGTGGACAGGAGGACTTGACAGCGCGTGGAGTAGATTCAATTCATCAAGAAAGAACTCATGGTCGCGATGAAAGCGATCGACGAATTGATGGACGCAAACCAACTCAACATGCAAATGATGGCGACTCTGCCCATGTTTGTCGTCGCCGGTGGCATTTACGTCGTGATTTCGAAAACGTCCAGGTCCGAATGCAAATTTTCCTGGGCCCACAAACGCTGTTGCCTTCAACCGCTCCTGCTTCACAGACTTCTCTACCAGTTTACGAGCTCGGCCATGTACGAGGACCCCAAGAGCGTTGCGTCCCAAATGCGCTACGCATTGAGAGATATTGAACGCCTCCTCAACATGCAAAACGTCAACGGCACCATCGATGCGGATGCCCTCCCCGGCCTAAACAGCCAAGTCTCGACCAGCTCCATGTCACCACGTATGTCGTGATGGTGCAGTATAATCATTATCATCCGTGAATGCAGTCTTGCGCGCCGCGGTGGCGGAAGGGAATGGCGGCGGTACGACGTTGGGCGTTCGCGACATGGGGTACTTGGTCGTGCTACTGGACCAACTCCAGCAGCTTTTTGAGCGCAATCGAGGGTACGGCCTCCTCGAGAATTCCATCACGGATGCGTATTTTCACCAAGTTGACGAGGCTGGTGTGGTCGAGTTGGCAACCCTCTCACTCGACGCGTTTTGTGTGCCCAGGTACTTTGACGAAGACGAGCAAAAGCGGTTCGAAGAGGACGTGACGGATTTAGTCGGCGAACACATGCTTGTGTCGCAGCAACTGGCCGTGATTGCCCGCATGCACCACAGCCACGCATTTCTCGTCAAAGGCGTGAGTTCCAAGTGGTTCCACTAGTCGAAACGTCTAGGCCAAGCAACGGCGATGGATGTTTTCGCCAGGTGTACTGAGTTTGGGTTGGGAATTGTTTTTTCTTGACACAAATCGTTCAACAAGCTCAACGCTGTGGAGGTCTCTCTACCAGCCCATGGGCAGCCCGTCCCCGCGTCCGTCTGACCCGGCGCACAGCACGCCGTTTCGAGGGTTCTTGGTAATGATTTGCCCTCGTCCGACTGCCGCCGCTTGAGCTGGCTCCAGCACACGAACGGCATGGCCTTTGGCGCGAAGGGCATCGACAACGGCCTCGTCCACGCCAGGTTCGACGTACACGTACGAGAAGTCGCCTTCTGGGGTGCCAATGCAGAAACGCGGCACATCCAACGCTGCTTGAGGGTCCATGCGGAAGAGAAGCTGGTTGAGGAGTACTTGGACATGGCCCTGAGGTTGCATGAATCTACTCATGTCGTGAGGCGCATCATCAACGCAAACAAGCGTACCCGCCCATAACAGTAAACGTCGAGTGGAGGAGCTGCGAGTCTGTGTAGACAGACAAGGCTGGGATGATCGTGTGGTAGGGGCGTTTTCCCGGCGCGAGAACATTCGGGTGGCCATCGACGAGGGAGAAGTTGGCGCCGCGGTTTTGAAGCGTGAAACCCAGACCTTGGGGAATCAAGCCTAGAATGTCCGACCGCATCGTCACGATCTGAATCAACGGGAGCTCGATCCCATGGAAGGATGTACCAGTGCCAAAGCCAGCGTAATTGCTGTTGACCATCGACACGGCATTACCGGCGCCATCCACGACTTGGAAGCTCACCGTGCCACTCGACAGCACGGGCGAACCACGGATGGGGTCCACTGCCGCCTGAAATTGGTCAGAACAACAGCGATACTATGTATCTCTCTCTACTACTTACCTTGTCGGGATCGATCAGCGCAACGCGGGTCTTGGCGTAGGTGGCGCTGAGGAGCTCTTCGACAGGGACATGGGAGAAAGTTGGGTCGGCAACATACCACCGCGCATCTGTGAACGCCAACCGAAGGACCTCGATTAGCGTGTGGAGGTACTCAACCGAGTTGTGCTCTTTTTTCCACTCGTCACCCGCAATCTCATTGAGCAGGTTCAGCGCGATGAGCGCCGTGATGCCTTGGCCGTTGGGAGGCACTTCGTACACATCGACCCCTCCGAACGACGCCTTGATCGGGTCCACAAACGTCGACGTATGATTCTTTAAGTCCTAGGCGCTCGACAACATCCATGACATTGCGATTCATCCACGAAGGCGGTCCTACCTCCAACGACAGAACGCCGCCTTGAGCTCGCACGGAAGCGACGATCGCTTCAGCAACGCGACCTGGACAGTTGAAGCTGTAAACGGCAATTGAACATACCCACCCACCTTGGTAAAAGCCAGCTTTTCCTTTGACCGCCACTTCCTCCAACGTCGACGCCAACGATAAATTGCGGAAGATCTGGGAAAGAAACAGCCCCGTCAACACATCTCAATGGTGTCGAGGCATGAGCTACCTCTCCAACGCCAGGGGCGTCGCCATCGACAAGCAATGCCTACCGACCCAACGTCATCACGATCGAATGTTCTCCCGTTTGCGTGCACCTCAGGATGAGGCCACTGCTTGAGACGAGGGACTCTACGTGATGCAGTTAGCTCACAGACTATTTTCGCCCGATGGTCGCAGTATACCCGCGTTTCCACGCGGCAGCCGTTTGCGACGAGAGCGGGAATCCATTCTTGGCCAGGTCGATCACGGGACGAAGGACTTCCTCAACTGACAACGAACCCCAAGAATCAATAGCGTCGACCCAGCCGGCAACGGCCCCTGGAACCTACAGGCAGAGTTCGATTACGATCCAACCGCACATATTGACAAGTCTTACCGTGATTGAGTGGACATGGTCGAGAGCAAGACTGTCACGGCCGGGGCAGTCCTTGCGCGCTCGTTCCAACGTCAGCGCTTGGGCATTGCGGCCACTACCGTTGAGCGCCGACACTTTCTTCGTCGCGGCATCGTAATGGAGCAAAAAGCAGTCGCCGCCCATCCCAGTCGAGCACGGTTCCACCACTGGGCAACGGACCGTCACGCTCATGCACACGCATTCCATTCACACGTACACGCCAAGGTTGCAGCAATAGCAATCGCAGCATCGGTGGCATTGCCACCTTGTTTGAGAATGCGGAGCCCAATCTCGGACGCTTGGGGGTGGTTGGTCGCTACCAAGCCGTGGATTGCATGGACCTGATTGCATAGGTCATGAGGCAGACAAGGTCGCACGTACAGGAGAGCGCGTGAAGGCCTTGGAGAGGTACGTGCGCGGGGCGTACGGCGGTGTCATTGCCCACGAGCAATTCGAAATGGTTGTCGTCACTTGGCAAAACGACCCAACGTCGGAAACAAGCACTTGACGATTCCGAATATAGTGTGCATAGAGCATCTATTTAGTGTGAGTCTTAACACGACGAACCTTTCCGTGTATACTTGACAGCATTCATAACCTCGTTCTGGAGACCCCCGTCAGTCGAAAGTTGGCATGGCGACTGACAACAGCCTTGCAAATATCCCCGCCGCTCGAAGAGGACTCCCAGGAATGGGCGTCAAGATGGACGAAGTGTGGAATGTTCGCACAGAACAGACGGGCTTTTCCTGACATACGCACCCATTAACTCCAACGAACACTATTTGGGATGTCACACTATTTCAGTGTTACGGGACGATTCGCTAGAGCTGGTTTATCCGGATGCGAAGTGGCGGCAAAAAGAACGCCACATTTTGGTGCAGCGCCGACGGCGTTTTTGACGATGGAAGACTTGACCCGGCTGTTGGAAGGAACACTATCGAACGACACGACATGCCGCGAAGTAGCGGAGGCGCACCTGACCAATTCGATGTCCACTCCTGGGTTTGCATTAGTGCTCACGCAGTACATCCAAGCGCCTCTGTCGTTGCCCTTGGCTCAGCTTGCGGCCGTGCTTCTCAAGAAGGTTGTGCTCGCCCACTGGGAGGCCGGTGAGGACTCGACATACGTCATCAGTGACAACGAAAAGACAGAGGTGCGCAACGTACTTATGCAAAGTCTCGGCAACCTCGCCCACGGGAACGCGCCGAGCCACTTTGAAGACTCGAAATTCCAAACGGCATACAGTCTTGTGCTAGCCGAGCTGGGCAAGCTCGATTGGCCTGAAAAGTGGCCTGCTCTTGTACCTGGGATCATCGAGCTCATGACAACCCACACCGCCTTTGCGCTAAAGTTCTTTAGCGTCGCCACGGACAACATTGCGTCAGACCACTTCGTCGAACTCGTACCGGTGCTGTTTCCGCACTTGGAGCGTGTGTTTGACGCGTCAACGACTCCAACTCGGTTCCAAGGCCGTGTTGTAGCTATTGTGCAAACGTGCCTCACCATGCTTGGGATGATGTCGCAGTCCGGCGAGTCTGCGCAAGCCGGTGCCGTGCTGCAGTCCACCGTGACGCCATGGATCGGGCGCTTCCTTCGAGTGCTTGAAGCGCCACCAAGCCAGGACCTTGGTTTGTATATCGTGATTGTTCGCGCGTTGACGTCGTTTATCGTGGAGTGGCCCAAGGACATGAGCTCCCTCGTCCCATCGATTTTGCCACCTGTACGTCGTCGTGCCACCATCCCTTGACTTGCCACTTTATTCTGGCTGTAGGTGTGGCAATTGCTTTTGAAGGCTGTAGAAGACTACGAAACTCACGTTGTCCTCGGCGCTGATGGAGTCGATGGAAACGACGATGGCTACGACAGCGACGGCGAACCGAACGGCCAAGCTGCACTCACTATGGAGCTGATGGATTTTGTTCGGGGGCTTGTGCATGCACCCACGAAAAAGACCAAGGTCTTGGTGACCCAGTCGCTCCAGCCACTCGTGCATACGATGGTCGCGTACATGCAGATCACGCGTGCCCAGCTCGAACTCTGGTCGGACGACCCGAATCAGTACATTATCGACGAGGACGACGACAGCTTGCAACACAATGTGCGCAATACGGGCGCGGATCTGTTGCGCGAACTCGAAGCGACCTTGGGATCTACAGTCTTGACAGCGACCATTCAAGCCACCCAACGCCGCCTTGCCGAGCCATCGTGGCGACTCCAGGAAGCGGCTCTCTTGGTCATGGGGGCCCTCGCGGAGCCATTGCTCATGACGGTACGTTGAAAGAGAGCTCCACATAAGACTGAGGACTCGTTGGCATGCATGTGTAGCGAGCCACCGTGGAAACGAACACCGCCGGCTTGGACTTGCCTCAGTTCTTGGCCACGTTGTTTGACGTGATGCACGCGGCAGAGTCGAGTAAGCCGTCCTCATGCCTTGGATGTCGCAGTTGATGTGTTGATGGAATGGGCTAGATATCTATCTCAAAGCGCGTGCGTTGTGGTGCGCCAGTCGGTTTGCCACCGTGATGACTGAAGCCCAGCTGGTCGCGTTCATTCAAGCGTCGATTTCGGGGCTCGACCGTGCCCAAGTGATTCCAGTCAAGCTGTACGCATGCCGCGCGCTCGGCACGTTTGTCCAGCACGAAAAAGGTGCATCCATCATTGGCGCCGCTTCGATTTCTCAAATCCGACTCGCAGCGGTGGCAGTGCTTCCTCCCTTCGCCACCACCATCGTCGAACGCCTTGTGCACTTGACGATCGACGCCACACCAGAAACCCTCCACGTCGTGCTCGAAACCTTGGTATCAATGCGCATTCTCATCGTCGCAAACGACAACATCTTCCATTCGGTAGGCTCTCGTCGTCGTTGACGCAGCCGACGTCGCCCAGCCAATCTTGCGTTGTGTGGTTCCCCTATGGGTGAGCCACCTCGACGACCGACTCGTTCACGACGTGGTCGTCGACATTCTCGCGGTGTTGGTCGCAAACGCTGCCGTGGCTCCGGCCGTCCTGGACCATGTTGTGCCGCCGCTAGGCAATGTGTTTCATTCGCTGTATGTGCTGCAAGCGATTGAAGTGATTGAGCTGCTCGTGAAGCAGCCGGCCGTGGCGCCGTTGGTCGTCCCGGTGCTGCTCGATCCGTTGCTTGGTGTGTTGCTCACAACCGACGACGGGTCGCTTCTTCAGCACGGCGGCGACGTCCTCAAGTATTTTGTCATGCACGCGTCGCCGCAACTAGAACAGTTCAAGACCACCACAGGTCGGACCGTGCGCGCGAGAAATCGCGTATTTGACGTGGTGTAGGGGTCAGTGGTCTCGACGGCGTCATGCAAGTGGTGGCGAAACTGCTCTCACCAGGAGTGTCCGACTCGGGTGCCATGGCGGTCGGCGGCCTTGTGACGCAAGTGCTGCTGCGCCTCTCTGCCGTGTTGCCCGTGGTGACTGTCCATCAGCTTCTACATGCTGTGTCGACTCGCCTCGGCAATGCCCAGATGCCATCGCTGATTCAGTCGCTGTGCACTGTGTTTGCTCGCCTTGTGCATTCCTTCGGGGTGAAGTCGATTCTGGACGCTCTAGAGTCCCTCGGAGTGCTGTCGTTTGTCGTGACGACGTGGATCGAGCATCAAGACGACTTTTACGGCCTGTACTCCATGAAGGTGACGCTCTTGGCGCTACTCAAGCTCCTCGAGTCCCAGGACCCCCGCGTGCTGTCGCTGGTGGTAAAGGGCGAGCAGCTCATTGAAACCGGGTCAACACGATCGCTTCGGTCGTCGACCAAGGCGCAAAGCGGCTCGAGATCTCAACAAATTCAGTACTCGCAAGTGTCCTTCGCGACCAAACTCGTCGGCCTCCTCGCCATGACATACGTTCAGTTTGAAGACGAAGCCGAGGCCGACGACATGAACTCGTCAGATGAAGAAGACGGTGACGACGATTATGGTGATGATGAAGCGGTACGCCAAACAACGGGTGGATGCTTCGGACGCTTGACGAGGTCGTGTCTAGACGTCTGTGCGACCGGGTGGCCCGTCGTCCACCTTTGCTCCCAGCGGTACGGACATTCACGAAACAGCATGAGTAACAGAACCCGTTGACCTGTGTAGAGGAATTCTTGTTGTCCGACATGTTGGATGGAGGGGACGAGGACGGCGACGAGAACAACGAAATCGAGGCGGCGATGGACCCTCTCAATGACGTAGACTTGAAGGTACGTGCTCCGACCACGCAAGATATCGGCGGTGGTGATCATGACGGTGACCATGTGCAGGACCAAATTGCCCAAGTCATGCGAACTCTGAACGCCTCCCCCAGCTTCGTCGCGACCATTGCGCCTGGCTTGACCGCCACCGAGAAGAGCATCATCCACGACATCTTGTCTTGATGTGGGGGCACAAACCCTCGCTTTCGGATTGGTCAAAATAATATCCAAAGTTTCAGCATGGCACGATATACATTTCGAATTCTTCTGGTGAAATATCGTGAAAATTCGATGGGAATTCGAAAATGTCGAGAACCTTTTGGCTAAATTTATCCAATCATGACTTTGAATTTCCAGATTTTTTACAATTCGAACCTCTCGCATAGCAGCACTACACCCCAACCACGTCGGGAGGGAGATGGCGGCGCCAGTGGAAGCCACCGCGACCGACGACGACGCGTACGCAGACCTGTACGAAAAGTTCACGTACCTTCAGCAACAGACAAATCGCCTGGCGGCAGCGTATACACTCGCAATTCAGGACTTGGAGGTCTTGAATGGCGACAACAAGATCTTGAAGGACAAATTGGTCCAGATTCGTGTGAGGCGGCGAAATCTTGCGGCTAAGGCGGAGGCGACGATGTGCTCAAACATGACTTCCAAGGCTCTCTTCTGTCGGCGAAACCGGAGAGTCCTTCGGAAGCAATTCCCTCTCGTGACAAGGGAGCAGCTGTCAGCAATCGTCGACGACGAATATGAGTCGCTCCCGAACGAGGCGGCTGAGGTATGTGCGTGCGCTTTTTCCATCAGACCTAACGGTACTTGTTCGTAGCAATGGCAACGAGAGTTCAAGACGTACGTTCCTAAACCGGTACGACTCGTTCCTACGCCCAATATGACTAAGTGCCGTCTCAACTAGCCTCCGAAGGGGCTAAAAGAAGAGGTGGTGCCGCGATCGTCGGGTGCGGCATTGCCTTCCTCATCGTTATCGACGGCGGATATAACGACTCCTGTAAAGAAAGCTCCAGCGAAACCCCGGAGAAAGCCAGCAAAGGCCGCCGCCTCGGGTGTCCCAACCGAGGATGTGCCCAAACCAAAGCGTGCAACCTCGAAGAAGAAAGCAACGGAGAAGGCTCCTGCAGGTGAAAGGAAACCTTCCGCCAAGAAACAGCGCACGTCGCCACCCAAGGCAGCTCCAGGTGCTAGAGTAGCAAAGCGATCGACCCCGACCAAGTCAAAGGGCAAAGCCGCACCAAAGGACGTGCTTTCCGTCCCCATGAAGAAGGATGGTGCCAGTGTTACAGGGGCCGACGACGACGACTCGTCCGACTCGAGCAACACCAATAGCAGCGGGAACAGCAGCATGCCGCCTAGTGACGACGACAGCGACGACAACCTCATGCACTTGCCAACTGGGGCATTTGGTTAGACTTGTTTTAGTTGTTGCATGACGCGCTGGACACTGTCCGCGCGGAATCGTAGACCAAGTCGGGCCTCTATTTCAGGCCGGGACAGATGCGTTTGGATGCTATCGTACTCGAGGACGTCGGCGGCTCTGGCCAAGTTAACGAGCAGTACAATCTACATCCACCATGAACAAAACCCACACGGAGATTGCAATCGACCTGATCGAGACGGGTAAATTCAGCGCGAAGACTGACGGGGCCGCTGTGGGTGGGAAATTGGCCACACAGAACGGACAGCTGGCGCACTTCCTTCTCCAACTGCATCGCGCCGACTTCGTTGAACGCCTTTTGGTGCACCCCGCGCTCGATCCAGTCGCAGATGTCGCGAACGATCTGGCGCCACATCAACTCAAAGGTCGGGCCACTGAGGCCCCGTCGAAATCGCCGCAGCGTTTGGTCTTTCATGATCTGCAGGGCATTGCACGCACAAGCGATGGTCGGGCGTGAGTACATGTGATTTTGGTCGATGCAGTGTGCGTACTGTTTGGACGAGGCCGATGACAGGAGACTCGTGGACTTCCAAGTAGTCGTACGCCTCCAACGACAGCTCGTACTGTCAATCTGGGACGGAGTGCTAGAATCGCCCCTCGAGTTTCGGCTGTAGATCCCACGTGTACAATGCATCGATGCCAGTCGTGTAAACCTGGTGGAACTCGTGCTGGAGTTCACTGAGGGGTTTGGGCAAGCACTCGAGCAACGACGGCATCGTGGAAAAGTGCGTCGCTTGCGCGTCCGCAATGCGCGCATGGACCTTGCCCACGTAGTCCCAGCTCATGTGTGCTGACACCACCGCCATCATCATCTTGGCATCGACCTGGAGCTGGTGCGTCAAGTCGGCGTCCACGGCTTGGAGCAGCGCGTCGGAAAAGCTAAAGTCCGACGACTCTACAAACCCAGCCTTTTTCAACAAAGTTGACGGTGGCTAGAAATCGCACGTACGGTCCGCCGTGTCGTCAGCCGTTGAAGCATGAGTTGGTGACGCCACGGGCAGTGGAATGTCAAAAGTCCGTCGAGGAAGGTCCAGGATGGAAGGCATGTACTTTCGCTCGAGCGACTCGACGATGGCAATCAAGACCGACAGCACCGTGTGATAGTTTTTGCTGCATACACAGCCATTCGTGACGAAAAACGAGTGGCTATGGCGCGTCAAAAGGGCCGTACCATTGAGTGGCCCGAGTGAACGCTTTGTCCAACACAAACGAAGCGTCTTCAACGGTGCTAATGTCCATGTCACGAAATACATTGAAAGCGCGCCTGTACCTGATCGCGAATACGTTGGGCTCGATTTCCTGGGGCTCGGCAATGATGACAGCTTTGTGGATCGTTTGGAAGATGTAGAATCGTTCGAGCAGCAAGTACACTCCATTCAGTTCGTGGACCTTACGCGACAGCTCCGCAGTCACAGCGTCGTCGGAGCCGCGACCACCAGTGTCCAAAATCGACAACGCATAGGCAGAGTAATGAAAGCTGAGCTGGAGGATGCACGCAAGCTCTTCCAAGAGGAGGTCAATCATTTGCAAGCTCTCGTCGGCTTCCACATCGTCATGCGAGGCGGTGGTGCGCATCGACACCTTCTTCTCCCATGCCATGAGTCGCGCGTCTGCAGCATATAGCGCTAAAATTTCGAGCAATCCAGACACCACGTCGCCGTGTATCGACGGAAACACTAGCGTCATGTCCGTCACGTTCGCTTCCTCGACTTGGCTCACAACGAACGACGCATCATGGATCTGTGGGATTTGTGAATTCCATGGATGCGGTGGGTGCATTGTACGTACCAACCCATCGAAGGCTTTCAAATGGACGGATCGATCGATGTACCCGTGCGAGTTGACAGGCGCCGCGGCCTTGAGCTTCTTCAGAGCATCCACTCGTAAACTAACGCGCTGTTTGAACTCTGCCCCGACGTACTCGACCAAGAGGTTCAAACACATGGCGTCGGTGGGGGGTCTGTTTAATGCATGCGATGTGTAGAAGGCATTGATCACCGTGCGCAGTTGCGTGTCGAGGCGTTCGTATTGCACGACGGAGTCGTCGTTCGATTTGCGGCCAAGCAATGTCGTCAATGTGTTCACAAGTGCCTCAAGTTTAAACAGCGCTAGTTGACCCTTTGCATTTGCTTTGTTCTCGCAATCTTTCAGCATCTGCGATCAAGTAAGTGTTAGTCGAATCGACACCAGCGTCGGACAGGTTTGGAATCATGGGACGGACTTCCTGCAGAATCACAGTGGCGGGATCGTCTAAAGGAAGCACTGTAGCAGCATGTCGGAGATTTAGCAGTGCATCGGCGAGATGATCGAGCTGTTCTTCGGCCAGCGCTTCATAGAACGCCCCGACGTGGGTGTGGAATACGTCCATCGCTGTCGGAGCAATTCCTGTGACAATGTAACAGTTCCAATCCATTTAAAATACGAAAAATCAACCGACTTCAATAAATTTCCCAACTCATTCAACATGCTATGCTTTGTACGAGGTTGGACCAGGACGGTCCAATTTTAAATACATGCTCCTCGTTCAGCAGATTATAACATGACGAGCATGAGCGTTTTCAATGCAACGAAGGGTGTTACAATCTGTTGCGATTCCCTCGGTATGTTTTAAACAGGTGTTTTAAATATGTTTCAAACCTGACCCCCTTGCTCTGAAAAACCCAACCCCACAAAAAAGGGAAGTGACGAAAAGATGAGCGTGTCGTCGTCGCAAGTGCTGGAGGCAGTCAAGGCGAACGCGCTTGATGTCGCGTTGGCGCGCGAAGAAGCGCTGGCCAAGTTCAAGGACATCAACTGGGCTACGTATACGCGTGCGGGTGGGTTCTCTTTGGACAAGGCCGAGATCACCGCAATCAAGGAAATGGAAACCGTGGCTAAAAACGCGAGCCAAAACGAAGATCAAACCGACTCGTTGATCGATACGTTCCTCCGCGAATATGGCGCGGCTTTGGGTGCAGGATTGCTCAAGCTGATCAAGAACGTCACGGAGCCGTCCGTGTTGCGCTATGCATTTGCCCGCATCGACGATCTGTTGCCTGGTACGGTGCCTCCCTTGCGCCAGCCACCAGCTCAGCACGACATTCGGTAACGACAACGTGTTTGCGCTGGTAGATGGCGGTCGATCGCGCAAGCGTGCGACGTATTTTGTACCAGACGGGACGTATGTCGAAGCAGCGCCTTTCCTCCGCTTGCTTCGTAGTGAGTCGGGGTACACGCAGTACGCGGCTGGCCACATTCTCGCGCAGTTCTTGACATTCCGTGGGAAAGAACAAGACATTGTGTCGTTGATTCAATGGATTTTGGACGCTGTCAAGGCGTCGGCGCAGTCGAGCGACACCGCCCTCGGTGCCACCGCCCGCAATGCCATCACGACGCTCATGGTGCTCCTCCGCTGCGAAACTGCGCGGAAACTGTTCACCCGTGCTGGGGGCCTTGCCAGGTACTTCTTTTGCCAACGGTGCATGCATCCTCCACTGTTCCCACTCTTCTTTTGTGCCACAGCTTGGCCGATGTGCTCAAGAACTCGCAAGGGAAGGCGCAATTAGCGTACGAGGTATACCTCGAATCCATTGCGAGTGGAATTTTCCTCTGTCGAGGATGTGTAGCGCTCACTCTTGTTGGGGTCGCCAGGTTTGCTTTTGCTTGTGGACGTTGTCGTTTTCGGACGAAGCGATCGAAGCGTTTGGGTCGTCGGGGGCCATCACCGCTCTCATCCAACAAGTGGTTGCCGCGCCCCGTGAAAAGGTCGTGCGTGTGTCGTTGGAGGCGCTCGAGGTATCTTGCATATGTGATTCCTCTATCGTGTTGGTGGCAGCCGACCAAGTCGGCCATCGATGCATTCCGTGCTGAGAGCTGGGCTGCGGAGACATGGGCTGAAACGTTGGCTGTGCTGCCGATGCATGATGGATTTTGTCGGATTGGTCGAGAATGGAGGCTCACCACCGGCGTCTTGGTGCTATAGAACCTCCTTGGCAAAGCCAACGGCGCTTACAACGAACGCATGATCGACGGTGGGCTGCTCAAGACTCTGACAAACCTGCGCGATCGCAAGTGGACTGACGAGGACATTGCCAAGTCGATCACGGCGATTCGCGACGTGCTCATCCGCGAGTTCAAGGAGCTCAAGTACGTTGCTCTCCGTCGGCATTCGTGTTACATCGTCGTTTTGTCTGTAGTACCATGGAGCGATATGAAAAGGAAGTTCGCACTGGGTCATTGGCGTGGGGATTGCTGCACACGGAAAAGTTTTGGCGTGAAAACGTCATGTCGTTCGAAGCGAACGAGTTTGAACTGATTCGGTACGCCATCCCTTCTTCGACCCCGCACCGTGTTTGGTGTCTGGCGGCGGCGGGCATGACCGATCCCTGTGTCCCTGAGTCTCTCGATCCACTTGTCGTTTGTCGATGGAACGTTGTGCATTTGGATGGATGGGTGTGTGTGTGTGTGTGGTTGACCTGAATGAGCGATCGACGCAAGCTGTGGAAAGAGAGCGCACGAGTTGATCGTGTTGCTTGGAAAGAGGCATGAAGTGCGCTCATTCCGTCGTCGTGTGTGCCATGCATAGGCTGTTGATCGACTTGCTCGAGTCGGACGACCCCAAGACAGTGTCGGTCGCGTTGTACGACTTGGGCGATTTCGTGCGATTTTATCCAAACGGGAAGCACATTGCCAAGCGTTTGGGGGCAAAGAAGGTCGCGATGAAGCTCATGACGCACGAAAACGCTGAAGTCCAAAAGCATGCTCTCACGTGCATCTCCAAGATGATGGTCAACAAGTGGGAATTCGTCAAGTAAGGCCGCGCACAAGTCACGGTCGTTGTTTTGAATGCAGACGCTGTTGTGTCTGGTGCCCATTTCGTTTCCATGGACGCAAAAACCTGTCGACAATTGATCGGATTTCTATGGAGACTGATGTGCCTCACGCGACAACGCAGCGCTTTTCCGTGCATGATTTGTATAGCGGAAGGTTCCGGGTCGCGAGCTCGGCCGTCGTAAAGCAGCCACACAGTTCGTTCGCGTCGCCATGCGCCCTCGGGTACTTTGTTTCGTCCTGGCACCAGATCGTCGTGGCACCTGTCTCAGCAGTCCATTGCATGTTGCATCGCTCGACGGCGGCTTCGGCGTCTGCCTTAACTTGAGCTTCGCGGAGTCGACTCCGGATCGTCTGAACGATCGGCTTCGCGTGGCCAAACCTATGGGTCGTTGTGTTTGCGGTCGAGGAAGAGCATTTCGGGACGTACTTGTCGTAGTACAAGCCTTCCACAGTGCCCACACGCGAGTACTCCTTATGGTTTGCAAAGAAGGAAAGCCACTTGTGGACGCTAAGGAGCTCCGAGTCCGTCAATGATCTAGATCGTGGATGTGGATGATGCATTCCAAGTTCGTTGTGGGTGGGCTCGTACGTGATGTCTTCGCCATCGCTCTTGATTCCTGACGAGAACGCGCGGCTGCGATCGACGCCAATGAAGTAACGGTATGCCCCGTTGACTCCGTAGTGCCGCGCACCTGCTGTTACGTCAAAGACCTGCCCCAGGATGGCCAAGTACAGCTTCTTCTTATCGACCCCATTGAACAAAGCCAGTTCATCTTGCGTCAAACGCACCTCTCGCAGTCCTCCAGCGACGGGAGCGCGAGGGCCACGATGAATCGCGTGGAAATATGAAGTCACGTGATCATGAGAGCTGATGTAGTACATCGATCCCAATGTCACGAGAACAAACACGACGAAAGCCAGAGGTAGCCAAGTCCACACTACATCCTCTGCTTCGTCGAGAGGTGATGGTGTGATGCCGTCATCCTCGTCGTCGTCGGCAGGGTTGAAGTCGAGGCGGCGGCGGTGGCGGAGGTGGTTGTCGTCCGGCATGTTGTCGAGTGGGGGTGCATTATCCGGATACGGAGGCCAACCGGAAGAAAACGAGGTTGACGTGAAATCCGCGACTTTTCAACATGCCCGCGATGACGCCGACAGCGTGTGAAGCTCACCTGGACGATGACGCGATGGCGGTAGCTCTGCGGACCCGCCGAGCTCAAAAAAAGACAACGGGTGAGGCATGCGCGTCTACGTTTGTGCTTGGCGTCGCCACGGCAAAGAAGAAGCAAGAGCTGCACCCTACCGTCGTGCGGAAAGTCGAGCGAGGTGCGAACGCAGACTTCAACTCCGCATCACGACAAATCTCCAGGACAACCACATACACACCATTCGGACCCGATCACTCTTCCGTCCGTCGTGGACGTACCAAGTGACCGTCTCCACATGCAATTCGTACGCCAAGAGCGCTCGATCAACCAACACCATCTCCAAGTGTATGGTAGGTCACCACTTCACCTCCCAATGCATGGTTACTTCTAATGCGCGGATCTAGCCACACCCGGCCCTACAGACTACGACGATGGCGCGGCCACACTCGTGCGACCTCGCAGGTTGGGTGTAGTTCATCGCAACCACACTCACCTGTGTCCACACCAGTGCGTGTGCAACTCTGAACGGTAGTGATCGGCGGGAACCGAAGCCATCGGACGCTCCTCCAGCAACGCAGTACAATCCAAAGCCCGTCCGCCCGCGCAGTCTCAGCGCACGGATCAGCTTGTCGCGTCCCCCTGACGTACCCATTCACGACCACGTGCGATTCTACATCCCAGGTACAAGGTTTCCCCGCCGGACCGCATCCACGATGGGATTCTCTCCTCAGCATCTGACTTTTCAACCGCGAAATCGCAAAGCTGGGACATTGCCCGACGCTTCTCTACTGACCGATACCCTCGACGCCCAGTCAAGGCACTGGCCAAATCGACTCGACCGGTCGGTTGGGGCAACAACCTCAGCCCAGACGAATCACCCAGACAACGTGCTCTCGCGCCATCACACCAGCATGTGCATGTCCGATCGAGAACCCCCCATCGCCGCGTCACGATGGTACTCGCGTTTTTTTTTTTCGTGTTTTTGGATGTTACCGACGGGCAATTGTAGCTACACGAATTTGTCACTCGCCGGCTTCGTGCATGGGCTGTGATCGTATGGGTAGTCGACGCCCATTTGGAAATCTACCGCCAGGCATGCATCCATCGCGTGTGCCGGCGCTTGCTCTGCGTCATGATGTCGCGCCGCACGGCGACCATCCGAGCGTTTGACCAGTGGCGCGGGGCGACCATCGAGTATGCCAAACACATCGCTAGCACCGTCATTATCAACCACTTTTGGCATGTACGTGTACTGCTGACGGAAGGTACAAGCGATTGCGAGATTCATGCGATGCGGGTGCCTGTGTGTAGATGCGCATCTCGGCGAGAGGGCGGCTCAAAACACGAGCCATCCATGTGCTCAAGACGTTCTTGACGTGGACGCAGCAAGGCCCGGTCGTCGTCAAGCAAGTGCAACGATACATCGATCGCGTGCGACGAGTTCAGATGTGGTGGAAGCACAGTGTCCGTGTGCTCTTTTCCAGAGCTGTGCTGTGGGTACGGCAGTGGCGCACTGCCGAGGAAGCCATGCGCCGAGCGCACTTGGCGGCAAAGGAAGCTGCCCTTGACACGCCCTTTCACGTGAAATGGAACGTGGACCATCAAGCTGTGCGTGTGCATGTCGATCGCCGATCATGAATGACGTGGCGGGGTCTCGTAGGAGTGGTCGCAAGCACTGTTTTGCTTGGGCCCAAATCGGCTCTTGATCGGTCAAGACATTAGCACCGATGCTGTTCTGGTTAAGGTATGGTTTCTGGGCACTACTGTCGAATTCAGACTAGATTGCTAGATCGAACTGTCGGCAGCGACGACGATCGATGGCGCAGCGTTGAGCGGCCTGCCTGGTGGTGCGGGCCAACAACCCTTCCTTCACGTTCAGCCAAAGCGGGATGCGACTCAATGTCTGCTCATCACGGGCCACGACTTGCACATCTGGCAACTCAAGTTGAATCTGGCAATTGCATGCGGCGACATCTTGGACCAGCATCGACAGGATAGCATGGGGTTGGCTTGCCAGCTCAAACTGAAAGACATGCGACAGCGCCATCGACTAGCTACACACGAAATCACGGGTATTCTGTGGTACTGCGTCGGCGACCTCCTTCGGTACGTTCTGGAGAGGGGCGTGACAGGAGCTTGCTCGATGGTTGTAGAGAGCGCCCGCACTGTCCCACCGCTGCCATGCATCGAGCCATTCGGACCAACTACATGGAGCGACGTGTCAAGTTCAGCAGGAATTGGCGCAAGTATCAACTGACCCAGCTCAAGTGGCAGCAGCAATGCCAACTCGCCAAGGTGGTGTCATTCCATCCTGGCCAGGCGTTTTCCCAACGGCGTATAGGAGGTGCAGCACGTCGCAGACGACCACCACGCGGTGCGGATTTCATTTCCATACATCAAGCATGTACTCCCCTTTTTGAATGATAATAGGTGTTGTTGGAAAAGCCGCGCCCACCACACTTCAAGCCGCTCATTCCATCCACCCAGCTCGCGATGCTTATCGATGAAGTATGTGCCCGACATGTTCTTGATGGCCATGGACGAACGGACGGTAGATATGACGAACGTGGTCCGTAGGTGACCGAATCCACGGTGCAACAACACACAGAGCATACGCGTTTAATCTTAGCGTAACCAGCCGCTGGCAGCAACGACGGTTCCCCCGGCGGCGGCGTCGAGTTTGGTTTTATTCCACACAGCATAGTCTTCGAGAAGTCGCCCGACGACGTCGGCCCGGTCACACACCATGTGCGCATTGCCAAGGGCCACCGTTTGGATCGTCAGGTGTTTGTGGGTAAATACGACGCCGACAATGTCCCCGTGCTCCCATGACAGGAGAACATGGTGGCTTGCATCAACAAAGTGCACCCCCATTCCGTTCACAGCGAGGACGGACGTCGAGTCGAATGCATCGAGAACATTTGTCGCGGCCATCGAAGCCGACAAATTTGCAGGCAATGACGAAGAGAATGTCGGAACGACAGCCGGCTTGGACTGCTTGGATGGGACTTGGATAGCAAAGAAATGGCTGCCAAAGAGCCGATGCTTCTTGGCTTCGTCCACGTACAACGACTGCCAGGTTTCGACGGACGGAGGAGATGCCCTGGCGTTGTCAGCATCGTGGGCGGGATCATGATTCGCTTGGTTGATTTGGTGCAAAATGCACTGCGCAAACTCGTTCTCGCTCTTGTCATCGACCCAACTCGCCGGCAAGTACTCGAGGACGTTCCACGTCAGCACCTACTCGGCACCTCCACTTGAGCATCCCATGAAACCCGGCATTCGACGACGTCTACCTCGTCCACAGTGCGAGGGACCGGGTCCGTCGATGCTGCTGCATCCGCCAAGATCGCGTACGATGCCAAACGCAGGACAGGTTCAATTTGTAGGAGCGGGACATGGCCCTGGAGAATATCTTCCATTGCTTGGACGTACACTAGGCGTTGGTAGATCAAATTGGCGTCGTCCACGACTGGAACGACAGGACTCAAACGCAACTTCAGCACAACACTGAACGGCCGATGGCTGCCAGTTGAAGCCCGTTCGTCGTCCGCTGGAGGCAGCTGCGCTTCAAATACATCAGCTATGCCACTGGCATGTCAGATACATCTCGCGAAACACTCTCACCTAAATACGCGTGGGGATGGTACAAATACGACGCAGCATCTTTCGCAAGGCCGAGCAGCTGGCCTTGCTGTAGCCCGAGAAAGTGCGCACACACATCGACGACGTGAGCGACGGTGAGCTCCGGGGTGACGGGAAAGTTGGTCGTGAGCACTGTTCCGTCCATCAGTTCAATCGTAGCAACGAATGGGAGCCGAAAGTCGAAGGCCTGGAGTTCTTCCAAGCTCGGCAAGAACCCACTGAGGACTGCGCCGCCATGCGCTGTATCGAGCCGCGTTTGGCAGTACAACGCGACAGGGTGGTCGTGGGAATGGACGAACGAAGCGACGTACTTGGCAAATTGCGGGGACGGCGAAAAGTTCGTGAGGCAAAGCGCGAGCAAGGACCACCCCCGCCGCTCGCTCTCCGGCCTCGGGTTGTACGTCAACTGCTTCATGATCTGCATCAACACTTCATCCACGATTGTGGGCTGTTGGAGCGCCAGCTGAAGGATCGATTGCGCCAGCATCTCACGAAACCACATCACGCGGTCTCGCATGTACCCCAAGATGCACCGGTTCACGTGGATGCTCCACGGCGTGCGTTGGTCTTTCAGCAACGGTTGGTCCACCACACGATTTTCCCACTGCAGGCTCAACGGGCCAATGTACTCGAGACGAAGCTGGTCGTAATCCGAAAGCTGAAGCGACGTGTCGACAGCGTCGTCGGACGCCGTGGCATCGTTGGAGGGTGTGCCGAAGTTGGATTCGACGTTGTGACTGGCTTTGAGCTGGCGGAGTACGTCCGTCGCGGACTGAAGTGCCGACGCTTCGACGGCAATCGATGGTCCGTTCGAGTTGACTTCATCCAACCACGCTTGCAACGACGCTTCCGTCGGGGCTTTCAGAATCTTGGCAAGTTTGGACTTGGCGAGGAGGCTCTTTTGCAGTTGCTTGGTCACGCCACCAGCATCTTCCAGCGCGCTCGACAAGACGGGCGATGGCTTGTTTGTCGTCGGGTCGTGCAACGTCGTCTGACCAAGTACCTTTTGCGTTTGCGCCGTGACGAGCGCCAGCAAGTCCGCACGAACTTCCATCCGACCATCCAAGCGTGCTTGAACAAAGCGAAGCGTGTGCTGGAGGTCGGCCACTTGGCGCGACTGGTCCATCGAGGCAAAAATGTGTGATAAATCAGCTTGAACGACGTCAAGGAGGCCTGCTTCTGCAGCTTCTTGCACGCGCTGGTCCACAGGCAGCTTGCTCAATCGTTGTAGGCGCTTGTGGTGCGCTTGCAACAGCCCAAGGAATCCAAACACGGGAGACGTCGCCACCAGCGGATGCGTCGTCTGAATGTCGTGCAATTTGGCGAGATCTTGTTGCAGGAATGCGTTCCATGCGTCTTCAAGAGCGGCCCGCTCCTTGTTGTGCCCTTCCAGCGCTTTTTCGACCTTTCGAACGTTTATGTCCCACTGCGCCATACCCACCGACCGACATCGCGTCATGGCCGCTTCGAGCAACATCATGCTATCCGATTGCAGCGCCAGGTCGACCAACGCGACGGCTTGGGGTCGGACCTTGGCAGGGGGCAGTTTTTCATCGAGCAATGCCACAGCTTGCAAGACCAAGTCGTCGTTGTTGGTGCCGAGGTCGGTCAGCAAGTTGAGGCAAATCTCCGCACCGGGCTGGCACTTGGTGTCGACGGCTCTCTGCAGTGCTTCTTCGATTTGAATTCGACTCATCGGAACGAGTGCACGAAGCGGCGCCCACGCTTCCCACGACGTTTTCAACGTCGCAAGTGTCTCGTCTACAACTCCCAGCTCGAGCAACTTTGAAATACATGTCGTCCACAACGTGGTCGAAGCCCCATCTCCACTCGAGGACACGCACGATGCCAGAGCCTTCTGGGCAGCCGCCTCGTCCGTCCGTCGAGCCAGGAGCTTCTTCACCAGCAACCCCTCGGTGGTTGACGCGGAGGGAAGAGGGTTCATTTGGGCAATGTCTGCGAGGGATCCACGAAGGAGGGTGTTGCGGATAGTGCTACTGGCACCACTTGACGACGGAGCTTCACTCATTTTTCGAAGCATTGCTTTCCCTTTGGTCAGCAGATCATGCTTCCAAGAAGGGCACACGGCTTGCGCCGTGGTAATCGCATGTTGGAGAAGGACTTCGTGGCCGCTCGACACCGCGTCCGACAAGATCGACTTGAGATACGATTCCTCGGCCACTTGCGATACAACTTGGGTTGCATCTTGCACCAATCGAATATTCGTTCCATGCGCTTCCATCCAACTGGTGGCGTCGGTCAGTCCTGTTTGAATGGCAGCCGGGTCTCGATCGTTGACAGCGGCGCGAAGAGCTGCCAAGGACGCGAGGCGGCGCGTGCACAATTTACGGAACGCACTTCGCTGCAAGTTGCGTTGAATCATGGTCGCGCACGCATTCAAGTAGAGCTCGCGTGCTTTTTCGAGTTTCTTGCGTTGGAGGACGTGGAGCCACACAGTTTGCGGTGGCACACCCTCGACCCGCCATGTCAGGTCATCCATGACGCCGATCGCTATCAGCGACCGAATCAGGCTCTCTAGGGTTTGCCGATGCCCACAAATGTGACGGTAACGCGAGAAAAAGAGTGGCGGGGATAGCTTCACGGTCAGGTTGCGCTGGCACGACACGATCAAGTTCAACATGTCCACGGCGCGCAATTGGCGCACTACGTCGCGAGAGTCGAAGAACGGCTGGTCATCCTTTTGCGGGTTCACGCACACGACAAAATGCGTCCCCATGTTTCGGATCGCCGCAACGAGGGACGACGCTTGCTGCATGAGCTCCATGGCGACGTTGTCGCTCGTTTGAATTTGCTTGAGGATGCTGAAATTCGTCGCGACAGTCGAGGCCGTGGTCGGACTCGGTAGCGTCGGGGAGTTGCCATGCCGATCCACCATCCCCTTGACAAAGCTGTTCTTGGACGACTTCAAGATCGCAGCGGCCGTCGTAGACACAGACTTGTTGTTTCGACGAACAAAGTCGTCCGCTTCGTACGTAATCGTGGTCGAATTGCCGTGCTGAATCGTAAACTGGACTTTGTAGTTTTTCTTGTTGTTCGTCGACGGCAGCACAGGTTGCAGCAACGCGTTGCCAATGCTTTCATTCGCCACCAGCAACTTGTTGACAAATTGCGCGTCTTGGGCTTGCCGGTGATGTGCGCGGGTCGCCATTTGATCCGTCAAAATCGGAATTATCCCCACCGGCGACTGCTCGTACATGCGCACGTACACATCAACGTCGAGATTCGTCGCAGTCGGAAACACGCACGACAAGTACAGAGACCGAACCTTCTCTGCCCAGTAGTGCACACACAACGTGTCAAAGCCCTGGACCGCGTCCGCGCCGGGCGTGACGTATCCAAACGAATCGAGAATGTGGATGCCGCGCGTGTCGACGGCGATGTTGGACTTTTCATACCTACACAGGAACCCCCCCCCCGCCATCATCATCATCATCTCATGACGACGCGCGGCAGCACGTACCGCTCTAGCTTGGACCGCATACTCGCGTTCATGCGAAACATAATGGCGTGGACGAGCGACTCGTACAAATTTTTGCAAAACGTGTCGCGGGCGCGGGTCGCTTGGTGAATGCTTACAATCTTCAACGACGACGTGTGGTTGGACGAGACCATTTTGCGCGTGCGAAAGTAGTGGTCCAGCACGGACGCGTCGACTTCGAGCATCGTCGCGGCCAGTTGCAAGTGGACCGCCGTCGCGTCGTCAATCATGCACGCAGCGTCTTGGGTGTTTTCCATCGAGTGGGTCGTCGATGTCGTCGACGACGGCGCAGGTACAAACTTGACGTTGCCGAGGTGGAGGATCGCCGATACGACGCGCATGATATTGTGGACGTGGTGCGCTGGAATGCGCAGCGCCGTCAGCGACGCCGTCACGTCCTGATACCAGCGCGCCTCCGACCGGCCCACTGGGGGGTGTGCACTCGCGGCAATCGCAAAATCAAAACCGAGTTCCAGCGACGATTGCAACGACGGGTTCACGGCGGCTTCGGCCAAGAGCAGGTGGAAAATATGAAAGTTCCGCTCGCTCGGCAATGTGTGCATCACCTACGAAACACACGGATCACGTCATGTCCGTCGAAGCGATGTCATGATCGGTCGCACCCGCTGCTTTTGCAAGGAGTGCGTCGTCAGGTTGCCAGCGATCAGGCGGCCGTGCGTGTCGTACTCGACGGAAAAAATCTTGAGGACGTACGACGCGTTCGCATGATTTGGCACCTCGGCATGGCCTGAATCCACCACGTCAGTCGGACAAATGCACGAGTGGCCATGTACCAAACGCTTCGAGGACTGTGCACGCATGTAGCATCTGCTCTTCGATAGGCACGTGGATGCTTGAGGACCCTGCCATGTCCCCAGCGTTTGAACGAGACTTGGATCGCGAGATTGGTGCGGTGTGGGTTTGATGGCAGAGATACTGGAGCACGAGCTTGGCCGCGTCAGATTTGCCGGCACCCCGTTCCCCAAGAAGCACAATGGCTTGGTCTTCCCCGCTTTCTTGGAGCGCCAATTTAGCATTCTCGGCCAGTCCAAACAAATGAGGCGGCATTTCGTGAAGCATTTGACGATGACGATACGCCTGGATCATGTCGGGGGTGTACAGGGGTAGCGGCCGGTGGGGGTTGATGCTGATCAGGACTGACGCACCACATTCAGTGTAGATCGTGTCGTCGCGAAAACGAGTACGGAGCGTGTACAGTAGCGCATACTCGAGGGCCTGTGCTTCGTGTCGAGCATGGAGGTTCTGCTGCATACGGTTCTCCTTCGAGCTCGCCCGAATTTCGTCGACACCCCCTCGGCGAATCGAAGAATTCAGCGTCAGCTCTGCAATGTCAGGAACGGTGGTCGTGACATCAATAGTCACAGGAAGCGCGTCGTCACTGTCAAGTTGACGCTCCTCGCCGTCCTCAGTGTGCACAATGAGGACACCGTCCTTACCACGAGCGACGACCACCCCAGGGACGCAAACCATGGTTGGGTCGGGACACCATACCCACTGCCTTGTTGGGATCTCTTGGTATCCTTGGTTCATGTCCATCTCTGACGAGCTGGACTCAATGCGATTCCGATGGTTCTCCATGATGGGGAACGATCGATGCCGTGCGCGGAACAGGCCTTCTTGACCGCCGATGGGATGTCGCCGCTGTGGGTCCCAGGGTGGGTGTTTCCAATCCCGTTATCCGGATTTGTTATGATTACATAACGAAAAGTTGAGTAAATTGTTCGCGTTGAATAAAAATGTGTGTTAACCGGATGATTTCCTTCAATTTGTACCCCCCCCCCATTTCTCCCAAAACGTGCCTCGAAAATTGCTCATTCGTTCAAGACAAAGTAGTCGCCGTCGCGGGTGAAGCATGGGGCTTTCTTTGAAGCGCTCTTGAAGTCTCCCTTCATATCGTCCGTGACAAGGTCTGGGTACTTGGTTGAGATCTTGGCGATCGCGGCTTTCTGCAGCGCCTTCTTGCCCATCCGTTGACCGTCGGCTGCCTTGACCAGGCTCTTGAGCACTTTGACCCACTTCTTTTCGGCGGCGGTCAGTTCAACGGGGACCGAAACCGGCGTTGCGGTCGCGTTCTGGCGCAAATAGTCCTTCACGTGAGACGCGAGGGCGCTCAAACTGTTGCTATCGTCGTTGTCGTCGCGGCCGGTGGTCTTGGCCTTTTTCGCCTGGGGCTCGTCCGCAGTCGTATCGTTGGCTGGCCGCTTCGCGGCAGCTTCTGTGTCTTTGAGTTTGTTGAATTCAGTTTCCAAGAACGTCCACAACTTATCCTCGACGCCAGTGATGCCAATGCTGTTCTTGAGAAAGTTGAAAAACTTGGGTTTCTTTCGTGGGACGTTGTCGTAGCCAGCAATGCGCTGTAATGCCTGGTTGACCTTTGCATCAGGTGCGGTCGAGGATTGAATCAAGTCCATCCATCGCTCCTGTGGGTTCTTCTTGGCTTGCTTGGACGCTTTTGGTGCTTGGTATAACGCACCTTCGTACTTCTGCGCCTCCGAGATGCACGTTGTATGCGCGGCGTAGTCGTTTCCTTTGAACACTACCTGGCAGTCGACGCACGTGACGGCCCAGCAGTTCCTACAACGACTCGCGTGCGCATCCACCTTGTTCTTCTTGAGCGTCTCGTTGCATCCCTCACAAACGAAAAACACCATCTCGGTGCAATGTCGAAATGCCAGCCAATTGGTTGGCGCTCGATATTGAACGAATTTTCCTGGTTTCCCTTGCCATTTTTGGTGAAATTTTGGCACATCGATGGAAATTTGATACAAAGTCGCCAAGATATTTAACGTGACGGATTTTTGATATGTATGTCGATTGTGTCCTCCGTTCAATTGACCACATCTCCTTCACTTTTTGAGAACTCGACACAAAAGTTACCTTCTCATGTATCGATTTAAGCTTTTTCGAGCGGTCCATGGACTTATCAATATTGAGAGTTGCATTCATGGCTAAAAAATAGAAGAAGTTCACTCCTCAAACAGTGGATCTGTGATGTGCCGAATTCTATACTTGATTCCAGTATTGACATTTTCGGACGACAGAGCCGCAAAACTATTATTTTATAGAGAAATATTACTTGCTGAAATATATAAAAGATGGAAGGAATGATTGAGCATTTTGCTAACAATGAAACGATTCTCAAATAAGTGTTTTTATGCCCAAGCTAATTGATATGATGATTGATCAAGCACTGTGGAAGAAGGCATGTTGGATCTGTATTTTAAGGTTCGACAGAGGAAAAGAATAATCCATGTAAAAATTATTAAACAACGAACGATTCATCAGCATCTTCATTCTCAGCAGCGACTGGAATTTCCTTCTTTCGAGCGTTTGGCTGTCCGGAAACTTGGGCTTGGAGAAGAGCGTGATAATCTGCCGTAATAAACTTACCGCTGACAGTCAACGTCTTTCGACAGACACGCTTCTTCTTGTGAGGTGGCAACACCAAGACTTCGCTCCGAACAGTAGCAGATCGCTTAAGCCAGGTATCGTCGATTTCAAATTCTTGCACTTGACTTGGTTTGAAAATCGACAATCGGAAGAGCATTTTGTCGAGAGACGGCGGACACAATCCCGTGCATTCGAAACCGTTGATGATCGACGACTCCTTCGTGGACCAGATACGGCACGCAATCGATACTGCGCGCTGCTTGTTCACACAGGTTGCCACGTCAGCCACATGTCGTTTGATATCTCGCTTCTAATGGCATTCTTGAAAGGTCAGAACACGGTGACGTCCAACGGCTGGAAGACGTGAGTTGAGTTCGACGGCAAAAATTGCAGGAGGATGCCAAGGCGTTTTGCTTCGGCGTGGATGAAGCTTGAGTAGTGCGATAAGCACCCATCCATGATCAAAAGAATTGGTCGCTGTGTAGACGCTGGAATTGCGGAGTCAAGCATTGTAAGCCACTTGCGGCAAATGTACTAATTGGTCCAACCATTTTCCGACGTTGTCACACACGTGCCTTGAATAATCAAGCTGTCGCACACGTCTGTGGATAAGCGGTCACCAGGTAGGACGAACAGAGGTGGAATCTTGGAACCGTTTGCACCAACACAGGCAACGATCGTGACGTAGGCAGATGCAGTTGATATTTGTCCACGAACACATGTTTCGTCGTTTTGTGGACTACCACCTTCTTTGCTGTCTTGGATGGTGTGAAGCTTGTCTCATCCATGTTGAACACGCGGCTTGGATCCATGTCGACTTGAGACAACGCATGTACGAGCTCATGGTAGAAGTCGACCACTGTGTCCGCAGTGACAGCCTGACGAGGCTTGCTCAATACGTTGGCCTTTCTTGACTTGAGCTCATCGTGCCGGACAAGGAACTTTTGATACCAACCCGACGTGGGTATGGTTGGCATGTCGTATCCATGAACAACGCTTATCATGGCACTGGCCTTGTGCAGGATTTCGTTACGGGTAACAGGATGTCCGTCACGTTCCATAGCAAGTATCCACGTCACAAGGTCGTTTTCGTACTGGAGCGGCAGCATCAGTGACGGGCCCAAAGTCTTGATCGTGCCATCTGGATTCTTGGTCTTTGACACATGGAGGTGAAGTGTGAGCTCTGGAATCGCATACTTCAGAGCTGCTGTGACGATTGCGGACGTATTCGAGGTTACGTCGGCAATGGCATTGGTCATATCGTTTGCTGTGTATGTCAGCGAGTTTTTGGTTTCATCACTGGAATTAACCTGTGAATTGTTTCTCATATTTCCAGGATAAATCCTGCAACCGTCATGATGGTGGTG